ACGTAATTTTTTCGTTGAAATTTTTTATGTTACTAGCATATTCTATTCGCCGGTAATTGCTGGTTTTCCTGTAGTAGTGGGACTTAAACCTGGCCATCTTTGAATAGGACTGCCGCCCAGCCGACAACTGTCGATTGCCACCGGACTTCCGCCCGGCTGCCGATTATTGCCATACTTCAGCAGAACCTTCCTTGAATCACCACCTTATTGCCGACCACCGTAGGACTTCCACCCAATCGGTGTCAGACTTCCGCCCGACCTTCGTCGGATTATTCCCCATTAGTTGAACTTCTGTCCGGACGTCATTGAACTTCCACCCGACCGTTGCCAGACTTTTGTCTAACTCTCCAAATTATTGTAATTTGATCGCCTCTAAGTCAAAAAACTGGTCAACTTTTGTAATTCACTCAAATTTAGTTGAATCTTTTCACATGGGCGTGGCCCCATGTTTTTTTCCTCATCTGTTTTTCCATGTAAAAAAATCGAGAGTTTTACTTCTCTCTATCTGTGTTTGTGTACTGGATATCCGTGTATCACTAAGATAAAAAGTTTACCCATTCTACCACCATGAATATTCTAGCCTGCAACATCAAATGCTTATTTATTGACTTTTAGAAATTTATGTACTAAAAACTTATTTTTTATGTTGCTCCTACTATAGTTTTAATCACTTTTATCAAAAGCTAAAATTATTTCAAACATGCCCTTAATTTCAATTCTTTTATTTTCTTAAAAAAAATCTAAAAAATTGTTTTGACAATTTTTTTTTTCTATTTTAAGAAATAATTTGGGTATTTTCTAAAATCATGAAACAGTCCTTATAAATAGACTTGGGGATATTTTGGACGAAAATAGACTAATTAGAAATTAAATGGAGCAATTAAAAATTAATCATAATTAAAATTATTAATGGTAGTAGTGTTCAACGTTAACCATGCCAATTATAGTGATTAACGTGCCGGACTTGGGGATTTTTTGGACGAAAATAGACTAATTAGAAATTAAATGGAGCAATAAAAAATTAATCATAATTAAAATTATTAATGGTAGTAGTGTTCAACGTTAACCATGCCAATTATAGTGATTAACGTGCCGGCTTAATTAGTAAAAAAAAATAAAATTGAAGGTCAATTAAAATTTAATATGTTTTTAATTAGTATAATTAATATTAATTATATATCACTTAATTTTAACAATTAGCCTTAGAATAATTAATTAATCACTTAATTAATGTATTATTTGTGTTCATTTCAATGTTCTCCTTGAACAATTTCAAAATCTTACTATGGACCACCAATCATGCCTAAGGGAACAAAAAAGAAAGGAAGATTAGGTTCTTAGATTCTTTTTATTATTTTAGGTTTACATTTATGTTTCATTTGGAACAATTTTTTTATTGCATTTTAAATTAGTTTTTTAGTACAAATTTTTTAATTTTTATTCTTAAAAATTATTTTAAGAAATACTAAGAAAGCCATCCCAAACAAGGCCTAAACCCAAATTCTCTCTTGAAAGTGGAGTAGTCCTGCTTGTTTTGTTGAGAGTATTATTATTTTAAAAAAAATGCACGAGTTTGAAAATTTTCAGCATGTAGGTTTTGTTTGGGACGGATTTCTTATTACTTCTTAAAGCATATTTGTATTAAAAAAAAAAAATTTGTGCTAAAAAATAGCTTTACTAAGCAATAAAAAAAGAGTCTCAAACAAAATCTTAATTATAAAAAAAGAAAACGAAGAACAAAATATCAATGTGTTCAGAGTTCCATATATAATTCATTTTTTATGCATTTAAAATTGTTCTAATTTGATGAAATTCTAAATACGCTACTTATGTGAATCTTCGCTAGCCGCTTATAACCGTCAATCCTTATTACAAGTGGTCAACCATTATCTGCCACTTGCCATCGAACTATTTTTTTAACGAGTAATATGCAGCTTTAGTCACTCACCATTGTTTAGCTTTGTTGGCAGGCAAGTACGGTTGAGAACTCCCAACCCGTGCTCGATTCCTCTCGAGCGGTAGTGCTTCTTAAGTATGACCTTAATTAGAAAAAAAGTAAACGAAGAACAAAATATCAATGTGTTTAGAGTTCCATATATAATTCATTTTTTTATGCATTTAAAATTGTTCTAATTTGATGAAATTCTAAATACGTTGCTTATGTGAATCTTCGCTAGCTGCTCATAACCGCCAATCCTTATTACGAGTGGCCAAAACATTATCTGCCACTTACCATCGATCTATTTTTTTACGAGTAATATGCAGCTTTAGTCACCCACCATTGCTTAGCTTTGTTGGTATGCAATTACGGTTGAGAACGTCCAACTCGTGCTCGATTCCCTTCGAGCGGCAGCGCCTCTTAAGTATGCTCAATCAAGTGCATGCAAGGAGGTTGATGAAGTGGATTGTCGGAAGATGCGACCTGCAAGAAGGATTTGGGTTTCCCAATCCAGGGAAGAAGAAGAAGAAGCTTTCAAAGCTTTTAAAAGGAGATAATATTCATTCAATGCTTTTCTTATTACAAAACCTGCTATTTATAAATTAAAAAGAGCATTCTAGAAGCTCATTCTAACAAACTAGATAAGGTGTCCTAGGGAACACCTCAAGCATAAAATGCACCGCATCATTCTCCCCTAGCGTAAAAAGAGCTCGACTCCGTTCGAGGCTCGCTAATTAGAGGGAGGTAGGGTGACAAACAAATTCAGGGATCGAAGACTTTGAATGCAGATTTTAAAATCACCACATGAAGAGGTTTTCCCCAATCCAAGTGAGGAAGTCCAACTTTCGAATCCTTGAAATGAATTAGCATTTTAGTTTGCCAATTGGTTGGGAAACATGAGTTCTCGGCACATAACCAATCCCTTTTCCAAATTCCACCAGATAGAGAGGCGAACACATTCTCCCATTTAGTTTTGTTCCGTTCCTCCTCTTCAAAGTTGTTGCATACACAAATCCATTTCTTTATCATTTCATCTTCATAGACCTGTTGCAATGGAGTTGTTTTTCCCATAAGACCATGCCCCAATACAGCTAGAATAGACATGTTTCTGTACAAATCAGTCATTAAGGACAATGCATTGGACTTTATTTCATCAAAACCCATGTCCTTCTCTTTAGCTGAAGCAATTTCAAGTTTCTGTTGTATGAATCGGCTTCTATAGTGGTCAGCATTAAACTCATAACCAACATGACTCCAAGAAGTGGGAGAGGACGGGTCATCTTCCCATCCTAGGTCAAATCCAGTTGACTGTTGTATAACCTGAAGCGCAGAAACTGTAGTTGCGAGGCATTCAGGAGGGATTTTAACCACTTCACATATTTCAATGCCATTCACTTGTGGATAAAAACTGACATTCCTAAACGAAACCTTGACCTTGTCGATGACCTTTGCCAAATAAACTATATAACTCACCTCCGCATGCCTCACATGGTAATCCAAATTCACAATATTTCCATTAAACAGAACATCAAATACGGAAGACACAGGCAATACACCAGCAAAGTAGATAACCACATAATAGTTTCCAAGCTTCTCTAGGGGGAATCGGTAGCTCAGAACATTTCTTCTAGCCAGAACCCTCGCAGTCTGAAGAACAGCAAGTGGAGGATCCTCTTTGAGCCATGAAAATTTAAGTGCAAGAGGCATATAGAACGCACGAGATAAACGGGAAGGGTGGAATTTGCAGGTCGAGGACAGAGCACTTCCAAAGGAGAAGGAATACGTTGAAGATGACGGTAACTGATCGGGAGGGGTTACGGTGCCATCGGCTTCGGAGTCATGCTCGGCGGACGCTTCAACCTCAGTTGCCAAGGAGACGATACCATAGCCGGAGGCTCTCTACTCGCAATCTGAAGAACATCAAGTGGAGGATCCTCTTTGAGCCATGAAAATTTAAGTGCAAGAGGCATATAGAACGCACGAGATAAACGGGAAGGGTGGAATTTGCAGGTCAAGGACAGAGCACTTCCAAAGGAGAAGGAAGACGTTGAAGATGACGGTAACTAATCGGGAGGGGTTGCGGTGCCATCGGCTTCGGAGTCATGCTCGGCGAACGCTTCAACCTCAGTTGCCATGGAGACAATACCATAGCCGGAGGCTCTCTCCACCCGTCAAGATAAGAATGCTGTAATATCAAAATCTGCTCCAGGATCGTCCAGGACGATCTGGGATCGTCCTGGGACGATCAGTTGAGAATTTGCTCCAAAATTTGCCCAGATTTGCTCCAGGTGTTTTTCTGTAGGCATCGTCCAGGCCGATCGAGGCATCGGCCAGGCCGATTTGCACTATTCAAAATATCGGCCGGAAAATAGTTCTGGGAACCGTCCAGGACGATCAAAATTGGTCTGATCATCCCGGGACGATCTGGCGATCGGCTGGGCCGATCTGAGTTTTATAAAGCTGAAATCAATCGTTTTGAAGAGAGAGAAAATTAGAAATTAAAATAAAAATATCTTGAGGAGAGAGAAAGTCAATGGGGTTTTTGGAAAAAGTGGATTTTCGGGCGACGCGGAGCCAATTTTGTCCGACGAGATTGTTTCGGGGGTGGCAACGGGTTGATTCTCCTTTCCAAAAAAAATGCATCTTTAAAATCATCTTTAAAAAATATATATTTATAAATAGTAATTATATTCATATTATGACAATAATCTTCTATTTATAAATGGACAAAGATAGTTAATACCAGATAATGAACTAATGATATAAAAGCATAAAAAATGCTTAAATTGTCTTTATAATAAGAACATTTATCAACAGAAACAACTCCAAATCTGAAACTTTTTCATTGGCAGATCAAAGATAAAAGCAAATTTAACAGAAGACAGGAATTTGATCTCCTCCCTCCTCCTGCAACATAGAATAATAAGAACATTTATCAACAGAAACAGCTCCAAATCTGTAGGAGCCAACGAATCATCTTTTTTTAATTTTTTTACCAGTATAAATTTCACAACTTTTATCTCTTCTCCTCAGCCCGATCTGTTGCCGGCTATTATCTATGATGTCCACGCAGAAGCATTCCAGTTTCCCTCTTCTCCTCCTTATACAAGCTTTTGTTTTCCTCTTCATCAACACCAATGCTTCTTCTGCCGCTGGTGATTTCGATAATGTCGGCCTGAAACGGTTCATCATCTCCGTTCGCCGCCCTGAAGACGTCAAACAAGAGCAGAGCAAGCAGTGGTATGAGTCGTTGTTGGCGCCGCTGACGACCGTCGTCAACAAGGCTGGCGGCGAAGAGGGCGTGGAAATACCGCGGCTTCTTCACTCTTACTCTGACGTACTCTCCGGCTTCTCCGCCCGGCTCACCGAAAACGAGCTTGATGATATGTCGAAGATGGATTGGTACGTGAACGCCATTCCCGATCCTGCGTACAAGTTGCACACCACACACTCCCCTGAATTCCTCGGCTTGATCCATCCCGCTGGCGGCGGCCTCTTGAACGCCTCCAAGCAAGGCGAAGGCATCATCATCGGCCTCCTCGACACCGGAATCACCGCAGACCACCCTTCGTTTTCCGATCATGGCCTTCCACCTCCTCCCCCTAAATGGAAAGGCAGATGCAACTACGGCAAACCTCTTTGCAACTATAAGCTAATCGGCGCTCGCTCGTTTATCACCGGCGAACCCGACAACGCTCTCCCAGTCGACCAGGAGGGACACGGGACACACACCGCGAGCACCGCCGCCGGCGCGGCAGTTTCAAACGCATCAGCTTTAGGAAACGCCGCCGGCACGGCTGTCGGAATGGCTGCCCGTGCCCATATCGCCGCATATAAAGTATGCAGCGATGATTTATGCTTCGGAAGCGATATATTGGCGGGGATGGATGCGGCCATTGAGGATGGTGTTGACGTTCTCTCCATTTCCCTCGGCGGAGGTTCCCCCTTATATTTTTATGAAGACCCAATGGCTATCAGCACCTTCACGGCGATGTCAAAGGGGATATTTGTCAGCGCGTCGGCGGGGAATGATGGTCCGGGGATGGAAACAGTAGTTAATGACGCGCCGTGGATTCTCACGGTGGCGGCGAGCACAATGGATAGGAGAATCGTCGCCGACGTGATGCTGGGGAACGGAAAGGTGCTCAAAGGCGAGTCTTTAAACCAATCGAAAGACTTTCCGGCGACAAATATGCTTCCACTGATTTTTCCGGGAGGTAATGGAGACGAGATAACCGCCGCGTGTGACGAGGACTCACTCGCCGGTTTCGACGTCCGCGGCAAGGTGGTTGTTTGCCAGAGAGGGATCAACGGGCGAGTGATGAAAGGTTCGGTGGTCAAAGAAGCCGGCGGCGCCGCCATGATCCTGATAAACACGGAGAATAGTGGGTATACAACCTTCGCCGATCCTCATGTTCTCCCAGCTTCTCATGTAAGCCATGAAGACGGACTCAAGATACTTGAATACATCAATAGTACAAGGACTCCCACGGCCAGCATAGCCTTCGGCGGCACTGAGTTAAAGACACCATTTTCTCCCTCCATTGCCGATTTCTCTTCCAGAGGGCCGAGCAAAGTATCACCGGGAATATTGAAACCGGATATAACTGGTCCCGGCGTCAGCGTCCTGGCGGCGTGGCCTGAACTGGAACCGGCGACGAAAAATCCGAACTTTAACATTATATCTGGGACCTCAATGTCCTGTCCACATCTCAGCGGAATCGCTGCTCTGATAAAGGCTGCGCACCCGGATTGGTCACCAGCGGCGGTGAAGTCGGCCATGTTAACCACCGCTGATGTGGTGGATCACGGCGGAAACCCGATTTCAAACGAAAAGAGGCAACCCGCTGACCATTATGCGCTTGGAGCAGGGCATGTCAACCCTGAGAAAGCCCTGAATCCAGGGCTCGTATATAATCTCAAGAAAGAAGACTACATTTCTTATTTTTGTGGTTTGGGTTATAGCGAGAGTATGATCAGCGTCATTGTTAAGCAAGAAGTCAACTGCTCGAAGGTGGGCAGCATTAAAGAGGCCGAATTGAACTATCCTTCTTTTTCTGCAGAGCTCAGAGTTGGCGAGACACTTATTTTGAAGAGAGTGTTGACTAATGTAGGGGAGGAATGTCATCACTATTGGGCTGACATTGATGAACCAGAAGGAGTGATGGTGACGGTGAAGCCTAACAATTTGACTTTTGAGAAAGTCAACGACCAAAAAGAATTTAGTATTATTTTGAAGAGAAGTGAGAAGAGCTTGAAGATGGCTAAAGGATATCTGAAGTGGGTTTCTGAAAGCCATCTCGTGCGAAGTCCTATTTTGATCAGCTTCAAGCAATGAGTGATTATGATATGAGAGATTTTTTTTTAAAGAATAATACAAATTTACAAATTTATCATATACAAAGTATTTATTCTATATTTTTTATTTATTTTTATTAAATTGATCTTGAAATTTTTGTAATGGGTTAAATATTAGTTTTGTTGGTGAAGTCAATGAGTTTTTTTTTTCACAAAAGTAATGTAAGGACTTAATTTTTTTTAATTGTTGCATGGGATATTATATATTATGTAATGCATCATGAAGCCCTTATGATTTCTATGTACATTATTTTTATAGTTTGTCTCTAATTTTAATGATATAAAAATTTCCGCAAATCGATATGCGGCTCTTCGGTTGATCGAAGAACTTCCTCTCGTTGTTCTGTACATGAATCCCCTAAACTGTTAAAAAAAATCCTATTTTTAATATATTATTGTTGGATTTTTTCAACATGTTTTAGTTTTTGCTTGATAAAAGTCTTAATATGCTTTTTTATTTTGTTTTGAATAATTTTTTTTTATTTTTTTGAAATAATCTCTCTATAATTAAATACAAGTTATACTTTAAAAAGTGACATAATGAAGGTAATTTATTAAGTTTTAAAAGAATATTGGTTAATTTTAAGCTCTATATTTCTTTTATCTTTGTTAAGTTAATTTTATTTTTTGTAGAAAGTTCAAACATCCTAAGAGTTTAACGAAGACAAATGTTTAGGCCATTCTCAATCAAAGTAATTATATAAACCTAAGAAAATTAAACTATTATATTGTACAGGCACAATCAAAGTAAACACACCAATTATCAAAGAGTGAATAATAAATGAAAGGCCAATGATGCAGATGAGTTCTGTAATACACCAAAAAAAAAAAAGATACATGATCTCTACCATAATTATAACTCATTCCTAAAACTATATGTATATATATATATATATATGTTAACTATAAAAAAAAAAACCAACCAACAAAAGAATAAAAAAAAATTAAAAGTATTACCTATGATCCAAAATCAGGTTCACGGGTTAATTCGAATTATACCCGCCAAGCCAATTCAACGGGTAAGGGCATCTCCAACCGAAACTCTTATTTTCACTGCAAAATGCAGTAAAATCAAAAAGTGCCATGATTCATCTCTAGTGGAACGTCATTTTACCCCCAAATCATCGTTCATTTCTTTCGCGCCTTTCTCAGACGAGTTCGGTAGAGAGAAAGAAATGACGCAAGTGAACAGTGCAACGCCAATATTAGCGTTGCACTGTTCAACTGCGATCAAATGGCGGAAGAAATAGCGTTCGGTTGCGACGTTTGAGGGCCTCCATTCGACTGTTTGCCGAACGGTTGGAGATGATCTAATACTTCATACTTGAATACCACTTATTTATTAAACATATTAACTCAAACTCAATTTTTTTAGGTCAAACCCACATCAAATTATCATCCTTTCCACATATAATATAATAGTACTTAGAATATATATAATACTGCAAATATGAAATATGTCTACAGTGAATATTGCAGTTATCAATCATAAAGTTTTATTAAAATATATTGAATAAATATTTATAAACGAATCATGAGCAAATGCGCAACAAGATTCCAGCTCCTATAAAAATCGAAGGTCGGTGGTCCCCACAAATACTTCAAGCAGAAGGCCTCGAAATCGCCGTACCCGATGACCCCGTCGCCGTCGCCGTCTAACTCCGCCAGCAGCCACTGGATCTCCTCCGCCGATATCGTATTCAGCTTGATCATCGCCTCACTGATCTTCTCCGACGAGAGCTTGCCGTCGCCGTTGGTGTCCAAGTGGCGGAAGACCTGGTCCACCTCCGGTGTAAGCTTGGACCCGTTCATCTTTCCTTCCTCTTTCTCTGAAGACATTCATTTGGATTTGAGGGAGGGAGATATAAGTAGCAGAAATCAATGGATCGCATTCCTTTCGAATGCGGAATTTTTGGTCTAACTCAAATTTTGGGGTAAAATTTTAGAGGAGGATATGATCACAAAAAAATTTTAAAATCCTGATACTTATTTTAGTATTTAAAGTTTGTTAGCTAAAATATGATTTTAATTATATTTATTGATAATAAAATTAATACATATTATATAATTATAATAAAACTAATCAAATTATATTTGTTATATATTAATATCCAACTAAATTTTTTATTAGAGGATCATAGCAAGATAATAGTAGATGGAGGATTGTAGTTGGTGGATGATAATCGAAGGATTGTAATCGGGTGATGATTATCGGATGATTATAGCCAATGATTCGAGGGAATTGGCATAATGGTGCTGGTGGGACAACGATGATCCAATGACAATTGGTCAATGATGGTGGTCTTACAAAGATGGTTTGACAGCAATAATTGAATTGCTGCTTTGGGTGATTGTCCAATGGAGCTCAGAGCCTTTGTGTTCTTTTAAATCTCAAGCTAAGAGCCTAAACTCCGCTTCATGTAAAGAGTGGAGTCTTATATATAATTTTTTTAGACTAACATGTCCTGTAAATTAATCAAAGTCTAAAATATGTTATCAAACAGTTCATAGTGATTATGTCGATCATATATTACGTAAAATATATTATCAAAAGGTTCATATTGATTAGGGGTGTCAATATTTGATACAACTCAAAAATCCGACATGAACCAGACCCAGAGATTTTAGGTTGGGTCAACCCGGACCCAAAACTGGTCGGGTTCGTACTGGCCAAGAAACTCGAAATAGACCTGTTTTTTACCCGAAAACACGAGATTGGCCTGTTTTGACCTGAAAATCGGAGATTGACTCATTTTCTTACCCAAAAACTAACAATTTTGGTCGGCCCCGGGTCTTCGTGTCGTGTTTGGTTGACCTGTACCTGAAGCGGGTCGGGTTCGGGTTGACCCGAATAGTACGTGTCAATTCCTGGTTCGATCCGAACCTGACCTATGACTCAAAATTGACACACCTAATATTTATAATCTTGATCATAGATTATGCTCTTAGCATTTAAGTACCTTCATGATATTAAAATTAGAAAATTATATACTATTGGATTCATCTCATCGAAATATTATATTTGACTATAAACAGATAAATAAGATTGTTTGTTACCCCAATTAATATTCCAAAGATTGAAATTACACTCCGAATGCTTGTTTTGGGCTCCATTAAAGTTGCATCAAATCAATTTTTTTGTTTATTGGTTCATTTGATTGAAAATTAAAATTTGGATTTTTCTGAATTTAATTCCGAAAAATTTTTATTTAAATATGCATTAAGATTTGTATCTGATCAAATCAAAATTTGATGACATATAAATGTTATATATTTATGTATAGTATAATATATTGTGGATTTTTTATAATATATATCGTTATATTTACTGCATAATAATTATAGTACTAATATTCACCACCACAATATGCAAATCTATGAAATTTCAATATATTTTGACATACAAAATTATTTTTTTAAGGCAAGCTATATAAAATAAATATGCAAACTCAGTTAAATTATTCTCATGAAAAATTATTAAATATAAATATAAAGGACTTATTTGATAAATTTTTTTTTTTTTTTTTTTGCATTTTTTGAAAGAAAAATTTTGAAATAATATATTTGACAAAGATAGTATTTGGCTGACATACAAAGTGTGGCAATAGAACCAAACATAAAAAGAAAGTGTAATAAACTAATATTTGGATCCTTAATATCCAATTATAATGATAATTAGATAGATAATTATATATTTAATTACTTATCTACCTGAATCTCATTTAAGGAAGAGGTTACATACTGGCAAATTAGTCATACTAATGATAAAATATATTGATTAATTTTAAACATTAATTAAATAGGACAAGTCCTGAATTTGACATTTTTTTCTATTATTCAATGAATATTCAGCCAAAATATCATCCCAAAAGATGTATATATTTACATAATGTGAATCCTATTACATACACATAAATCCCTTTTTGTGAACTATTTTATATTAATAATAGAGATGCCTTCTGTGCCATGGATATGTCTTTGAATAGAAATAGGTCATAAAAGCAAATTATTATAAACCTGTTGTATATATTGTCCTTTGGAATGTATCAAATTTTGACGTCATTGTGGATTATCATGTGCATAATATTTTCTTCTATTTGTGAAATATTTGCGCATGAATCCTCTCATCTTCATGAGAGAATGAGTTTTCACCATTCATGCCTCATTGGTTTTGCTTGTGTGAAACTTAACTACATCCTTGGAAGGAGCATTGGGTAAAGAAAATAACCACAACAATGATGTCAAATACGAATCTCACATTAAGACTAGTAAGACATTAGGCACCATATTGGAAAGCTTTATAATTACAAAATTTTGTCACTTAAGAGCAATTGAATGCTCGATTTGAGGAACTTCACCAACCATTGACTGGTATATATTTTAGTAGCAATCATCAATAACTCAATTGCCAACATATTCTAGTTGCAATCCTACACATTTGCTAGTAAAATTAGTGATACTCCTACACCACTTTCTCATACTAGATGTACCATGCACATTTGCTCTTTACCCACAGAGTCTTGGAGGAGTATGTCTCGCTTAAGTTTAAAGCTACTCATTTGGATGCATATAAGAATAACATGACCTTATTGATCACTTGGATATGTTTGAGAGTGTTTTGTTCACTATACAACATGTCAAACTCCATCAAGTACAAGATATTTTTGACCTCTATAAAGGACTCGACATAAAGGTTGCTTAATAACTTTCCCTCCTCAAGCATTTGTACATTTGAGTTCTCCAACTAACTTCTAGCGTAGCACTCCAAATTAAAGGAGCCACTAAAGATTTATCTATTATCTCCCTCTTCTGTACAGGCAAAATAAACTAGAGAACCTAGGTAACTATATAATGAAGTTCAATAAGGCTTCAATTGAAGGTCACACGTATTGATAAATCTCTCATTATGACCATATTCACCGTAGGGCTAAAAATTATGAAACTTCAAGTTCTCTATCGCTCAAATTCTCCCAATAACATGAAGGACCTACTCATCAAAGTTGTTAGCTTATGAATGAAGAAGAGTGTATAATAATTTGAATATCTCTCCAAGCAATCATCCTCTTTTTTCTCTCATGAAGAGAAATAAGCAATGACAGAAGCATCAATATCTCATCTCAAACATAAAAGAAGAATATGCTGAATGCTTCTTCAATCATGGGAGTTAACTTAGTATGCACCCACTTGTTAATCTCATAAGACACACTCTCTTAGTCCCTTTACAAGATATTTTGATGTTCGTTTATTTCTACTAAATTGACTACTCATAAGCATCATGGTAAAATTTTGAAATAAGAAGTATTTCAACTGTTTGACATCAATGAAAATGTTGACATTGGGAATGGATAAATCCTAACTTATACCTCTACCAAGGTGACCATAGCATTGATATTGAACATTGCATATCTCAAAACACAGCTTGAGAAATTAATAAAAGCGTGCAATCTAAAAGAATATCTTGACAATCGTCGTGCCAAAAGCAACTTACAAGACATTCATTCACACGCTGCATCTTATGATAAGATTAAAATAATTAGCATAATGCATGTCATAATTGAGGGAGCGTAACTTCAAGCAACATGACTCGGGATCCCAAGAGTCTCACCCTACTTGTGATTAACTCTTTTTTCACCTTCATTGACTCCATTAGTCATCTTCCATAAATATTTTTAATAATGTAATTATCACATCAACTATTATACATTTCTTTTGAAATATTTAGAATCCACATTAACACATGGTGCTTAGCAAACACCATACTCCTTGACCTTCCCTAGAGATGAGATCAAATTATAAGAAATTGTTTTCCCATCTAGTGGCCATTTGGTTGAACTCTTTAGCCAAAAATGTCCCCATGAGGAGACTATAACCTTGGAGGAGATTATCATCTAGGAGATCATGTGACAAAATAATGAAGCTTATAAACCTAAACAAGTTGACTTCAATTTTATGTGAGCTTCATTGACATATAATTGCATTGTTATGAGGCCCCCACTCAACTCAAGAAAACATTATTTAACTTTGTAAAATCTCCAAGTAGAAGATTACCTGCCAACAAGGAAGAACCATCCCAAAAGAATTTCATGCTCGATTCTCTCCATGTTTTCAAAATCAAATCCGTATATATATATATATACTAAAAAACAAACGTAAAAAAATTGTTCCAAACAAAATCATAATCATCAACCACCATTAGCCATAGATTGAGCAACGATTTGCATGAAATATTCAATCTCAAACATTCAATTTAATTTTTTTCCAAAATAAGAATTCATTTTGTACTCCTAAAAAATTTATTAATTTACATGCCCAATTTAAATAATAATAATAAAAAAGCTACGGCTCCACCAATAGCTATAACTAACTCTAAAATTAGTTATAACACTTGTATTAAAGAACTTGATAGTTTCCATGAGTATTATAAATATATTCCTTATAATAAAATCTAAATATGATATTGATTAATGAAAAGTTTTAATTTTTTTCCCAGAGAAGCTCGCTCCCTCAAACCATTTTGCAAATGGTACATTCCACCAAAGTATTACATTTTTTTAACGTGAAAAGAATCAAAATGATCTATTAACTCTTAAAAAAAAAATAATCAAAATAATCATGTGACAATTTTAATTTTTTTATAAGAGACCAAAATGATCATTTAATATAATCAGGAGGGCCTTTCATAAAGAGTAAATGGACCATTTTGATTCTTTTCTCAAATTTTAACAGATTGATTGACGAACCAAAACAAATTTGACCAGCACCAGCAACACAATTTACAAACAACACAGTATTTCATTAACACAGGTCAGGTAAGCTATGCTTTCTATGATCACAAGCTATCTATATAGGCTTCAATCTCTCTAAAAATAAGTAGAACAAAATCATTCTTCAATTAAAGGGGAAAAAAATTCGTAGCTTTACAAGAAGCAGAGCTCTAGTAAAAAAAATGATGCTCTTACAGGAGGCCAGATTGATTTTCCTTAGTCATACAGTCCTTCCTCATGCCAAATATCTACTAGGAAATCTACCATCTCCTACAAAATATCAAAGTGTAGATACTTCCATTGATGAGAATCTCGAAATTATAACATTTAAAGAAGAAAAAACAGTAGCAGTGTAAGAAAACTTACTGATAGTGGGATTGGTTGGGGGAATGGATTATTTGTAGAGAGCAAGTCTTCATATGTCGTGCACCAACTATGAATAAGAACAAAGGAACCAATAATCAACAATTGAAAACACTAATAATAATAATGATTGAATGTTGATTAGTAATCGATTTCTCTGGAGCGGCAGCGCCTCTTAAGTATGGTCCAATTAAGTGCGGGCCAGGAGATTTCTAGGGTGGGTGCCTCTTCTAAGTCAGCTGAGAATTAGTCGCGCTGCCAAGCGCCCTTTCAGGGGTTGCAGCGGGTGGATATCCCATTCCCAAAAAAATTATAATAATTATAATAACTCGGCAAGGAGATTTTAATTGCTACTTGTAACAAGCTGAAAAGAAAGGGTGTATTAAAGCATGTGAAATTCATGCTTTGTAAGTAGGAAATGGAACATATTATCAAATAATCTTTAGGGAAGACTGCTCCTGTGATCTATTAAACTATTTGGCAGGAGCATAAAATGAGGGAGTATTATTCATGCATGTGATATATAATAACAGGTAGCATATTAAATATATTCTTTGTTTGGGATGATTTTCTTACTGCTTTTTGAAATCACTTTCTTATACAAATTTTTTTTATTTTTTACTAGAAAGCTGCTTTAAGAAGCAGCAATAAAGCCGTCCCAAATGAAGCCTTATTCAAATTAAATGCATAATTTTAGAAATGTCATTTGATTAATACTTAATATTATGATCATTAAGAAATTAATTGAAAATTACGCCATTAGTTGTTACAGTTCAAATCCGAAAAGCCTAAACCATGAATGAAATAGAGAAGGAATCCATCCGAAGAAGTATTTTATTAGCTGCACGAGTGATAAGTATGAGTACCTTATAATCGGTTCTCTCGGAGATTGACACAATTTTCTGGTTTGATCTCCAACCCATTCTCTCCTTTCCGCCACCCAAGCTATTGCAGCTGAAGCAATAAACAACTTAATGTCAGAGCTTACCGGAACAAATGAATGGCAGAGCAAAGAAATTATGGATTACTAATCTAAAATAGGAAAGACGAACTCAAAAACAATTCTTAAAAGGATCACAAAGGTGAAGTCAAACTGTAATCATGCATAGAATGAGTGAGAATTGTTGTCAATACAAAGGAAAAAGTGAGCAAAGACAACATAAATATTGCCAACATACACAGACGTTGGTGATTAAATCTTTCCTAAGAATATAAGCTGACCACACCGTGATCTTGGGGAAATTATTCTGTGCGGGCACCGGATACCGGACATCGTCCAGAGGCCAACCGGAACACGCAACGTCATTTTTTTGCTCGGTACCGATACTAGGTACCGGGTGATGTGGCGTATTTTAATTGGCCTCTGGATCGCCTGGTGTCCTCACAGACTAATTTTTCGTGACCCTGAAGGATGTAAAATATGTAAACTCAAACCAAATTGGCAAAATCAATAAATAAAATCCAATATGCGAGCGACTGGCAGCTGAAAAAGAAGAACTGTCACAATAACAACAGTAACTGAGTTTCAATAACTAACCGAAAAGCCATTACAGTTGATTCTTAACAAGAAACAAAAATGTTTGTCCAAAGTCATCAGAATTTGAGACTACAGCATACTTTCCTCAGTATATTCCTAAGCAATGTAATTAAAGAAGCAAAAAAGATAAATGTTGAAACAAAGAGATTAAAAAAATAGAAAAAAGCCAAAAGAAACTCATAAAAAGAGACCAGTAGAATGTCATCAAATAAGAAATGAGAAAAGTACCATTAAAGGAAATGTAATCAATTACAGCATATAAGAGAATAATAAAGAAGCCATTCACAAAGGTGTGATAAGCATGTGCATAAATAATAAAAAATAGAAAAAAAAAGGTATACTTCAAACATATCAGGAGCATACACAGTTTTGAATACAAGAATGCCATAAACATAACATAAATTATAAAATTTTAGCCAGAATGATCTTTAACTTAGACTAACCATGGTTGACGAATGAATCACTGCTCAAATTTTCTTCTGCCAATTTGTTAGTATCATTAGGAAGAGGGCAAGGGGAAATATGCGTTTCAAGGGAATTAGCTACGCTAACATTGTTTGCCATAATCTCAGGGCTTGATGACCATTGCCTTCTCTTATGTATTGATATTCGGCTTCTGCTCCTCTTTTGGTGTGTCTTTAATGTTCTACCAGGTAATGAATGAGATTTAGCAAGAACTCCTAGACAAGAACTGCTCTGTATAAAAAATGAGTAAGAAATGTATGATAAGAATAAGAAAAGTACACACCGTTGAACATGTTAACAGAATTGCAATTAGCTCTGTTGCATAAGATATTCAAGTATTTTGTAAAATAAGAAAATATAGAGCATGTTAAAAGTTACATCAAAATCAGAGTGCCCTCAATTCCAAGCCACCATTTGAACCTACCCCATAAATTAAGAGAACATGTCCCCAGTATGACTATGCATCTACAATGACCAAATGACCACCGATAAGAAGTAACCGTTGGTTTTCAAACTCCCAATCAGTGAGCAAGTAGTAGAATCTTCCTGTTTCATCAGATTAATAATCAAGGAACCAGACTATGACAGATTGTACTAAGATTGTATTATTGAATGAACAGTACAATATAATAATCAACTGCGGTACTATTACTAAATAAGGGAAAAATGAGGCCAGAATGTCAATCATGAAACCCAATAAAAAAATTTACATGAACAAATTAATTTCAAGTTTTCTCATGATTGCTCGTGATTGGCAAGTTGATCTGGAAATCGTCTACAGAGAACAGCACAGTACCGATATGGCTCAAAGATAACAGGAACTTTTGATCATAAGAGGCACAACTAATAAACAGACTAAATGTTAAATGGGCTACATGTTTCAAATATTTAACTAAACTATTCCTTAAGGGATAATGATGATCCCAAATCCCAAATATCATATTTTAGGTATTTTAAATGTTAAAGCAGTATTTCATCACTAAGGTGCAACAGCTCAGGTGATGAACCCTAAAAAGGGAAACTCCTGAAAGGTCCATCAGCTCAGATGATGAAGAAGAAAAATGGAAAATCACATGCACTTTGGAAATATGAGAAAAGATGCAAGTTGATGCGTGTCAACAAAAGATAATGCCCACTTCGTGATTCTCGCCTTGTCTATGTTGCTTTATGCTCTTCCTCTATAACCGTTGCTTTCTGTATGAAAGTTTTTTAGGTCATTAAGTTAAGGATATTGTTGCTAAATCGAGAGTCTAATATCTTTCTAAAAGAGAAGTAAAAACTGCTTAAGTCATATTAGGCTAACGCTTACAAACTTAGATACATATTCTTCTACTAAAGGTTGGATAAATTTCATTTGTGCCTAATATTGTATAGGCTTGAAAAGCCTTCATCAATTCTTCCCAAGTAATTACAATGTAGGGTCGACCATCCAACTATATATGCCTCCTAGCGATACCAATGCTTTACATTTTTTTTTGCCAAAACGAATGTTGCTAAACATTGTCTTTCTCTCAGTTGAACATAAAATTGCATTGAAATGTTTTCTCAATTTGTGCAAATTAAACCTGTCTCCAGATTCGCCACTTCAACAAATTGAGTAAGCTTTAACCACTGGGTCTTCTTATATTCTTCGATTGGTAGAAGTCAACACTCCTCCCACAATTTGCATTAGTGCAACCAAAACTTGCATTAACAGCTATAGAGTAATGTTGATGGGTTACACCATGGATGTCAGAAAAAGTGTAGCCATTACATGCATCAATACACGGTAATCTCCTCTCATTATTCTAGTTATCCTAAGTAGTTGCTTCAACTTCTCTCTGCTCGACAGATTTTTTCCATCATTACCAGCTTCTTGTCCCTTGTATGCCATCTGCGAGGACACATCAAATGTTTGCACCTAGTCTCATAGTAATTAATAATTAATATGTATATGCATCACATCTTGACTATCATACCCGCACTCCTAAGAACCTAAAGCATCAGCTCTTACACCGAAAGTTGTCACAAGCCAAATCTCATCAACAAAGCCAAACTGAATTGCTTTGAGTCAACCACAACTTGTTCGGCCAACTCAATTAGCATAAATTCAACCAAGTTAACATGATTAGGTAGCCAAGTAAAATTCTCTTTCCAGCACTAGTGTACAAAACACATAGTTAAGCTGACGTCAACATGACCTACTATAAGACCGAGAACTGAAGCAAGAAGGCCATTGAGATGAATAGTCTCAAGCAACACATGAAACCTAGTTGACAAAAATGAAGTAAAAAAGCCCATTCAACTTAAAAAGAAAAATAAGAGAATTTAGTAAAAAATAGCTAGGAAATGAAGAAAAAATGATTTATAAATTATAAATAAGGTTGAATAGTCACATAAAAAGTTGTAAACCCAAATTCATTTAAAAGTGCTCATTATTATAAAGCACAATCCACTAGATAGCAGCTAAAAATAAGAAATGAACTACTACGGACTAGCAAACTAAACCTGATTGGCTTTAAACTTGTCTCCGCCCACCCCACCAAGACCCATCACTTGGAATACAACAACAACATTAAACATTTATCTCACTACGTGGAGTCAGCTACAAGAATCATTTTTCTCCATTGTGTCATATTAAGAGTAAATTGTCATTTCAATCTAATAAACAAATGATATTTCTATCTAACCAAATCTTTTTAGCTCTACCTTTACTTTTCTTAACATAGTCCGGATCTGAAACATCTACTCTCCTAATCAGCTCACCAAAAGGCTGACACTTTATATGACCAAATCATCTAAGGTGACTATCTCTATTCTTATCTGCCACTGGAGCTACTCCAACCTTTCCACGTACATACTCATTTCGTATTTTGTCTCTAACTATAAAGCCACTCATCCACTTGAGCATCCTCACCTCTGCAACACTTAACTTGATTTTATACTTCTCTTTCAATAGCAAACATTCTGCTCCATAATGCATTATAGGTCTCATCACCAACTTATAAAAATTTCCCTTAAAGTTTGAAAAGATAGTAAAATTACTTGGGATGTAAAATAAAAACAAAGAATGAGAAAACTCATTGGAGAATGCTTGATGCAATATTAATAGATTCATGAGTAAAAGCTAACAAAATAAATAAAGGTAGGCTCCTAGCAATCAATCGAACGACTTGAACCATCAACAGGCTACCGGGTCAATTACATACACAATTAGTAAGAGACTCCTACACAAGTACACATACAAGTTGGTCATCATTTAACTGAGTATATAAATATATTTCTTTTACTTCATCACCACCCAACAAAGATCACACAACATCACTGGCAATATATATGGTATCAAACAATACCAACAAGCAATAATGTTACGGATCACAGAGCATCGAAAATAAATATTAGGGTTAAGGATCACACATGATCGACAAGTAATCAATGTCCAAGATTATGTAGCGTCAACATTATCCCTCGAAGGTCTACACAATACTCATACTTTCACTTTTATGGCATATCACATTAGCATTATCATTACATTCACACATATACAAGAATTAATAATTATTAATGTTAATATAAGGAAATCAAGAAGAATGAAAATAATCTATTTTACATCAACATATTATCCTTTCATTCATGCCTTAAGTAATGACACTAAGGAAAGCTCACATCATTCACATAGGAAAAGACTACCAAAGATGGGTCAACAATCCCCCACATAAAGTAGACGGGAAACATTGAAGCTGTTTTCCCTTCAAGTGCTCACCACTTGGTTCTCTAGAGATCTCATTGCTCGGCTCTAGGCTTGTAGCTCATGCACAAATCATCTACCATAAAGAAGATTAAACCCTTTTTTCGCTTTCTATACTTAGCCAGCCTTTCCTAAACTAAACTTTTTCTTCCAGTAGCCTTAAAAGCATTCATCATAATGAAAAGAAGTAAGATAATATTGGAGTAATAGAATAAGTAGATGAAGTTATGTGTCATGCTTAGAATGAAGAAATGTAATTTTAGAAGAAATAGGTGCCACATAAATTATGCCAGGTGTCAACTTCAATTAAGAAATGATTTAGTTAGTTAAATTCATTTAAAATAAATGGATAACCTTTCATGAACACTTAAATTATTTAATTACTTGCTAATCTTATTAAAACTTATAATATCAATGAATATAGAATTATGATAAAATTTTATTTTTGATATTAATATTAAAATATAATCTTTCATCATTGAAGTATCATAAATTTATTTTTAATATAAATATAGTATTTAAATGTAATATTAATTTAAGCATAAATTTTTTTTTAAGGAATTATCATTTTTTATTATAATCAATCCTGCTAGTCACATATTATTACTTTTAAAAATTGAATAAATTTCAATGTATATCACGTTAATACCAATGATGAAAAACTTACAGATCATTACAACCATCGTCGCTAAACTTCTAGGCAAAGGCATTCAATGCAACTCTTAAGGAGAAATTTTTTTCTAAAACCATGAGAACAAATGCAATATAAGAAAAATATAATTGTGTTTATTTTAAGCATTTCATTTAATTAGGAATTTTTTGGCTTTATTTTAATTGAAGTTAGGTTTGATTATCCTTTTGGATGACATTTGAGTTGAATTTTAAATTATTTATAATTAGATTTAAAATAAATTTGATTGATCATATTGTATAATCCAATGTCCAAAAATAGGAATTTCTTATTGTATTTTAAATAGTGAAATGACAGTTAAAATTGTATTCCCAACTTCATCTGAACTTCTCTCTCCTCATGCCTAGGATCATTCTCTTCAAATATATGATTTCTCTAATGCGTCCTGGAAATAAAAACAACAAATAGTCAGGAAGAAAATTGCTAGAACACGAAGACAATGGCTGATTTTCTATTATCTCTTCAATAAAAAAGAAATATACAAGTGATCTACTATTTGGCTCTGCCACAAACCCTAGACGCTGCTAGGAACAACTCCTAAGAAAAACAACAACAAACACAATAACATAATGAAAATAAAATAAACTAATTACCATAAATAAACTATCACATTTCCCTCCCAAATATGAATTCAAATCAGCCCTCTTTCCTTTAATAAAACATTCCTAATTTTCTCTCAAATATAAATTCAAATTATCCCTCTTTCTCTGAATAAAATCTTCCTAATTCCCTCCCAAATCTGAATTTAAATCAGTCCTCTTTTCTTAAATAAAAATTTCCTAATTTCCTTCCCTAATCTAAATTCAAATCAACCATCTTTCCCTAAATAAACTTTTTTAATTATTCCTCCCCCATTTTATCCTCTTTACATATGAAATATTAACTCCCATGAATCCCAGACGGTCAGCCCCCCTAGCATATTAATACTTCCACACAAAAAATTACCTTGTCTTCAAGGTGGAAGGATGTGAACTATGTTCCATTGAAAAGACATCATCTAGGTTCTTGGTGTCAGTGCAGTCGAGGTACTTCTGTAAGAGCCTCCCACTACTCCACTCTTACCAAGCCCTCTCCATCTATTTTTGATCCTCAACTCTCTGGACTAAGTTTATCGTCTCCTTCAACCACTCAGTCTCATTAATCAAAGGTCCGCTCATACGTTGGGTTTGAGGCCCTTCATGAAAATTTTCTTCAGCACCGCCTCTGATACTCCCCTTAACTGCTTTGATAGCAACTCAAATCTCTCCCTGTACTCCATGACGGTCTCCTGCTTGACACTATACACTCTTAATGCATCACAATCATATGGTAAGTGTTTAAGCCATAAATCTTGTGCAATTATTTTCTTCTAAGATCTCATCTATATCACTAAGAGATCCTTATTATCCATCTTTGTTTTAGTCTTTTTTACTCATAATTTGTGGCATCTTGTTACGACCTATTAATGTCTTTATAAGTCTTTGTTGGATAATGTGACAACCCAAAAGTAAGTACGATGAGCCATAGAGTCAAGGCAAAAAATTGCTCATATAGGTCTCCTTTCTAAATGGCTCAGAAAAGTTCCAACAAGCAATCCTTAAACTCCTCCCATGAACGGATCAGATATCTAGCCTCCCTCCATTGAAACCAGGCCATGGTTTATGTTGACCTCATTTTTGTATGAGGTCACCTGGACCAGTCCTGACCCCAGATCAATTTAATAGGTTTAAAAGCGGCACTTACACGCTAGCTAGAATGACTTAAACTCTACTAAATGTGTGTAGGAAATTGTTGACCTCATTTTTGTATGAGGTCACCTGGACCAGTCCTGACCCCAGATCAATTTAATCTCTAGACCAATCCAAACTCTAGGATCCTCCTAGAATCCCGACCTTAGGATTTATTCTAGATCCTAGAATCAATCTAGACTTCGGACCCTAGGATCTACCTTGACCTTGGGATTCTCCCAAATCAATTTAAACCCTAGGATTCTCTTAGATCTAGACCTTAGGATCTATTCTAGATCCTATGATCCTTCTAGAATCTAATTTTAGAATCTATTCTAGGTCCTAAGTTTTTTCTAGACTTCAGACCTTAGGATCTATTCTAGACCCTAAGACTCTCCTAGATTCAAACCCCATGATCTTCTTAGACCCTAGGAACTGCCTAGACCTTAATTCGATTCAAACTTCAATCAAATCCAGATTTTAAATCCATTTAGATCTTAATTTCCAGTTCAATCTTATATCCTACCTTCGATCTAGTTTTAAACCTATCCAATCATTTATAATCCCCCAAATGATTATAAATGATTTGAATAATTCAAACCTAATCTATCAAACTCAAAATCCAGATCAAATTCAAAATCCAGACTCAAATCCAATGCTAAAAGGCCAAGTCCTAAAAACCTTTTTCAGCAAAATTTCAAACACTTTGAAACCCAGTTAAATGACCTCCAATTCAGAGTCTGTCGGTTGCGTACTGATGGGACATGTCTCTGGAGGCAACCCTCCAAATTTGAGCCCTTTCCAAGGTCTCTAACCTCAGAAACTTAATTAAAATCCATAGGCTGTAAAACCTTCAAATATTTACAGCCTATGCCACTAGACCTGTTACCCAGTAAATCCTGACCTTGGAGCTTTCTTCAAACCCTCCAATCACTTCCAAACCTTTAATCCAGACCTATTGAACAATAAACTGCATTTTTCTGGACTCATTTCAGCCCCTAGTGGTCATGTCCTCTCTCAACCCATTCAATGAGAAATACCTCTCCACCCGATATACCCACCCATGGGCATCCTCCCCTTCGAATACTGACATCTTCAACTTCCTCATCTTAGCATAATCACAACACCAATAGCTTCCTCCTCCTCCAATGTAGCGATTGTAGTGATCCCTCCATGTTTCCCTCGTATATCGAGGGTGGGAATCCCACCTTTCTTCCACAGTTCCACCAGCCTCACATGACCCGATACCCATGGCTCGGCTTGTCCCCCTCCTTCTCCAGTCGTACACTCCTCTTGCCCAAAATGCCTTCCATAGCGGTCGGCCACCTCGCCGCCTCCACCATAAAATTCTAAATAGTGAAATGACAAAGTTAAAATTGAATTCTGAACTTTATCTGAAATTCCCTATAATCATGCCTCGGATCATTCTCTTCAAATATCTGACTTCTCACTTCTCGCCACTTTCATCAACATCATCAAAGTTGTTGAAACCGATCCCTTATTGAAAAAAATATTTAAAAACTTTCTTATTTCTCTGAAAAACTTTGTAAATGCCCTTCGCAAAACAAACCTAATGAAGTTATGAGCAACTCTTCTGGCATGATTGTAGTAGTACCGAAGAGCAATATTAAACAGATGCTTTATATCCCATAATTCCTACCTTCTGCCTCCTAAGCTTGAGGATCAAAAGAGAGAGAGGTACAAAACTAAGTAGAGGATTAAAATTATTGAACAAAGGCTCATTGATGAAGAATGCAACAAAGGATGAGAGAGCCTTACTAAACACTCACCACGAAAGACAAATAAAAAACAATTATTAAGGGACTAAAACTGAATAGGATGCAGTAGCATGTACCATATGTTCCAAGTAATGCAAACACCTTCCATAAAGACTGGCTCAATTCTTTTTTAAGTATAGTTGGTCCAGCAAGCAAGATTTAAATGAAATGCAATAACAAAGAAAAGAAGAAGACGCCAAAAATAAGGAAATCGAATAAAAAACAATTATTAAGGGACTACAATTGAATGGGATGCAGTAGCATGTACCATATGTTCCAAGTAATGCAAACACCTTCCATAAAGACTGGCTCAATTCTTGTTAAGTATAGTTGGTCCAGCAAGCAAGATTTAAATGAAATGAAATAACCAAGAAAAGAAGAAGACGCCAAAATAAGGAAATTGCTTCCTAGTTGGCAGAGAGTTGTAGCAAACAGTAACTTTTTATTCTAAATAATTTTAGACAGATTACTAGTAAATTTCTTGAGCGGGACTGCCAACCTGAGGAAAAGTTAAATGTTTCTGAAGTAATAATTTATAAACAAGCACCACAATATGTCTTTCATCTCCTAAACCAGTAGAGAGCTGTGATTGGGACTGATTAGGAGAGATAAGAGTTGCATAGGAAAGCAAGACAACATTCTATTAATCACAATTCATTACAAATTAACGAGCCTGAAGTTACATAGAAAAAATGATCAAAGGTTTATGAACATTTCTCATTTCTGAAATAATGTAGAGAAAAAAAATAATAGAAAAATAAATGTAATATATTCAGGATAATAGCAAAAGCTTTCTAATCAAATATTTTTTATGGCTAAAAAACTCCTAATTGCATTAGGTTTTGAATCTTTAGGATCTATTATATAAATAAATGAGGATTTAATTGATGATATAACTTTTAGAAGTACTGTTAAGCGGATGAAATGAAGAATTGTCTTAGAACTAAGGCTGAAGCTTAGTCGAGTATAGCAAATCTAGCTCAATTTGGAATAAAAATTTTAATTCTTTCTCAACCCAAAATCAAATTGAAAACAAACTCATTTCAAGTTGAGCCAATTCAACATGAAATATTCAATCTCAACATGACTCGCAATTGATATTTTAGTTAAATTATACATATAAATATAAGTAGTATACTATATATTATATTATCATGTTATGCATTTATGCAAAATGCTCGTTGTAAGTAATTTTGAGTCTATTAAAACAGTAATAGACCAAATTGAGACAAACTTTAAATTGATTTAGAACCTAGCGTGGAACTCAAAAGCAACTTGAAATGAAGTCAATGTTTAAAAGGAGGGGAGAGGACCATGGGTATGTGTGTGTGAAATCCATTGCAAAATACAAAGTCAGGTGTTAATTTAATAATTAAAAAAGATGTCATATAGGCAATTGGTGAGGGGAACCAATTTAAATGTTGACCTAATCGAGAGTATATCATGTTCCTTGAACAAATTAAAGCTAACTAGGCCACTCACTTTCAGCTCTCATTAGTCCAATGCATAGTTAGAAGGCTCAATTCTTGGTCAAAATCATTGAACTCTAATGCATCCCATGTAAATAGTCATACGAAACCGAACTTGAGAAGATTAAACCACAACCATACGACATTACCCTTTCAAAGTAAAATGATTCTCCAGTTTAGCATAATATTCTATTGCAAATCATTAAATGTAAGAGGTAAATCTGGAAGAAACATTCTGGCATGAAGTAAGAATATAGTAGATATCCAACAATCTGGTACATGAAAGGATAATCTCTATAAAAAATTTAGTACATAACCCCATATGCCTCACAGAACATAAAATAAATGCACTACATATCAATTTATCATAGTCACTTAAAGAACAACTTCACAAAAATATTGCAGAGCATCAATCTCCGCAAACTGAATAATCATAATATACATTTATTACCAGATTTATTTTAAACAGACGAAGCTAAATAAGCATAAAGATATCATTTCAAATAACCAAATAAAAATCTTTACATTTCCCAAAAAAAAAAATTCAAGAACATACTTAACCATAGCATAAACAAGAGGATTCAAACGAGGGAACATATAGATAAAATAAATAAGAATCAGCTTCAACCAAAGTTTCTTTCACCGATCTTTAACCCGAACCATGCTATCCAGTATATGCAAGAAGAAAACATAAAGCAAAATAAATTAAAACAAAAAAAATACACAAACTCATCAAGCACGGAACAGGATGAGAGAGAATCGTAAATTGGAGAAACAAACAAAACCCCATTAAGCACTACTACAAACTCTCCCTTTGAATTCCCCACATAAAAAATCTGAATCCCATCGAATCTAATCGAGATATATACCAATTAAAACAGAGGAGAAGAATCAACAGGCCGATTAAATCCCATCTTCCCCTATCCAATTTCCACAATAACACAACTCATCAGTTACCATGCGGGACGATGAGAAGAAACAGAGAAGCATACCGTGGCCACCTGAACTTCGCCGAGAGGAATAGAGGAACAGCCGGATTCGCTACAGATTTTTAATCTTCTTTCCCGATTCGATCGATGGCGTTGGTCGCCGAAGCCCTTCCCTTTCCCAAGCGGTGTTGTTTGTGTGCAGTTTACCTCTAACTGCACCCAAAGTTGGACCGCGCGCACCGCTGCCGTATTGGATCTGGGTGGGAATCAGGGTTCCTTTCACAATTTTTCTCGTGTGATTTGACCACATGATCGCTATGCTGGTACTGTTGTGATTTAAAAAAAAAATATTTAGAATAATTAAGTTAAATTTACGCACACATTATATAACCAAAGATCGAACTCAAAACTTCTTAATTGATAATCAAAACTCTCAACAAATAGGCCAAAATGAGCTGCCTAACAGTTCGGTAGTGGTTTTGGGAATTCGTGGACCGAATTAGGTAGACTTGGACTCAATGCAGTATTGGTTCAGGTCGAATGAGAATCGATCCGATTTTATTTCTTAAAAAGTTGGCAAATCATTTAGGATGCCAAAATGGATTAAAGGGAAATGTTTAGGTTCGAATCAAAATTTACCCAACCTGAATTTGACCCCATTCAATAAATCGGGTCAAAAAGATAGACCAAACCCGTCTTGTCGGCATCCAAGAATCAAACCCAACTGAATAACATATTGTAATTTTAAAAAATTATAATTATTCAACCATAAAGTTTAGATTAATCGATAAAAAATAAGAAGATCATACAAACAGATAAAAGAATTTAAGAAAAATTTTAAACAAGTCACTTACGAGTCAAAATTGGATTCGCGTGTCAATTTATGCCGACCCATTTAATAAACGAGTTAGAATTTGAAATCCGAATTCGACTAATTTATTAAATTGGTCAACCTAAATCCAAGGGCGGAACTGTTACAGCCTTAGGGGGGGCAATTGCCCCCCCCCCTCAAAACATTTTAAAAAATTTATTTATATGATTTTTTTAGGTAATTTACTCATTTTCATTTATTTTTTAGTCTTTATTACAAGAATTTTTAGGCAATTGCCCCCCATAGACCAAACCCGTCTTGTCGGCAACCAAGAATCAAACCCAACTGAATAACATATTGTGATTTAAAAAAATTATAATTATTCAACCATAAAGTTTAGATTAATCAATAAAAATAAGAAGAACATACAAACATATAAAGGAATTTGAGAAAAATTTTAAACAAGTCACTTTCGAGTCAAAATTGGATTCGTGTGTCAATTTATGCCGACTCATTTAATAAACGAGTTAGAATTTCAAATCCGAACTCGACTCATTTATTAAATTGGTCAACATAAACCCCTATTTTTCATAATGAGTCATGCATGAGTGTCATGTCATGCATGCACAAACATAAACATAAATAATACACTTTTTTACTTTAAAAAAAACATTAAAAACTCATTTTATGTGTTTTTTTTTTATTATTATTTGAAACTATATATTAAAAAATTGCTTTATAAAATAAAAAAAAAAACTATCGCAAACCAAACCTTCCTGTCATATTTTAGAACATTAAAGTTTTACTATATTGCAGATAATATTTCATAAATACCTCTTCATTTAGGTCTCCACATACCAATAAATTCTTTACATCAAAATGTAACAAATTCTAATCCACAATAAATTATGGCTCCACATACGAATAAATTCCTTACATCAAAAAATAACAAGTTCTAGTCCACAATAAGGTAAGAAAAATAAAAGATTGTGACACCTATGCAATTTTTTTTTTTACAATATCTATCTTATATATTGGGATAAAAATTTGTATATTTATAATTAGGACCCATACTTTCCATTTATTTATCTCTAGATGCTATCATTATCCTTTCCTTGCATGACAAAGGGTAATTCCTTTATTTCACGCATCTTACAACAATTATTGCAATATTTACATGTGCATTTAGTTGCTCCAAACATAATTATCAAAGATTTTTTCATGTATCAATATTCAATAGCATAGACTAAAAGTCCTACACGGCTCTCACTATTATTAGTGAATATGCCTAAATAAATTGACATGGTCTTGCCCATAAAAATATCATAATTCTTCATGATGGCGCCATTTTTCTATTAGTGAAAACAATAGCCTTTTTATTGAAAAAAAAAAAATCAATATTGAATTTTTATATAATGTGATTTATCATTTTATTTTATTTATTATGGATCACAAGGAATCTCATTATAGATAGGGGGTGTCAAAATAGGTATGCGGGTTAGGTTCGGGTCAAACTTGGACTGACCTGAGTTTAAACTGGTTTGACCTAACCCAACCCATTTTTACAAATGGGCCAAGAAATTCAACCCGGACCCAACCCCAACCCACATGGGTTGCTGGGTTGACCCAACCCGACCCGTGAACACAAAAGAAGCTCATATCCAGTTGCGTGTGAGGGAGCCTGGCAGAGGCGTAGAGCGCGGCGAGGTGCAAGCTGTGCAGGTGGCCGGAGGATGGTTGGCCTAGGGCTAGGGCCGATGCGGGTGCAAGTCGTGTGGCTAGTCTAGATGGCTCGACGTACAGTCTGGTTAAACCATCGCAGAAGAGGCGGTGGAAGAGGCGGCGGCAGGCGGGTTAAACTGGTCAATCCATGTCATTTTTGGGTTTCCGGCTCAACCCGAACCAGACCTGACTTTTGAAATGGGTCGACTTTCTGAACTAGAACCCGACCTATATGTCAAACGAGTTGGCCCGAACCCAAAATTTTTAGGTCAGATATATCCTAGTCGAGTTTCAAGTCATGTCAAATATTGACACCCCTAATATAGATAATTTATTATTGCTAATTAACTTTTGGAAGCTCATCTCAAATAAATTAAATAAAAAATTTGAGTTATCACTGACATAGTTCTTTTATGAAATAAAAATGTATGATCATTTTGTATGTGAACTCCTTTAAGAATTAAAATTAAAATTTTAAAATGTATATCTTTTGGTATACTGGTTACAATTTCTTAGAAATTTCAAAATTAAGTGTACTTGTATATGAGCACTCTTCGGATCGATGACCTCCTATGAAGTTACACCAATAGATCAAAATCGTAAAGCTATTAGATCAAAGTGGACATTATCTCGATAGTTGAGAGTTTGAATTGTTATGAATGGTATCATAACAACATACAATTGAAAAATGGGAAGTGCTCCAATTTGTCTGGTAGATGATTCTAAAATTGATAAGAGCATAATAGCTAGACTTTCAGTAGAAACTCATCTAAATCGAAATGTGCACGTATCAGAGTATCAGAGCACTCCTAAGAGGTTAAGATAAGTGACCTCATAAGAAGTTATACCAAGTTGAGAAAACTGTAAAATCATTAGGTTGAAACAGACAATATCTCGTTGTCTAAGAATTTGATTTGTTACACTACCAGAATTCTCTAATAAAATCATTTATTTTATGAAGTGAATGTGTCAATGATAAGAAAATATTGATCCAAGTTTACATTTTACTTTTCATAAAAGTAATGATGTTATGCTCCATAGTTTTGAGATTTTATATAAATGTGGATGTGCCCCTAATTTGGGACATCTTTCTCTCTATTTTCTTTTATTCAGACTGCTGAACATATTCGGTTAGCTATTATTATATCGTTACTTTTTAGAAAATTTAATGATGAGAAGTAGACTTTGAAAATTAAGGATCTGTTTGGAACAACTTAATATCTTTCTTACTATTTTATACCCTAAAACTTAGCAAACAAATCAATGCAATCCACTAAAAAGAGAAAAATTATTACGTGCAGTAATCAGATCGTTTAGAGGCGAATTAGGATGCGCCACATCATCCAGTATACAGTATCGATACACAATAAAAAAATGACGTGTTGAATCCTAAATTACGTCCGAACGACATCCGAGCGTAATATTTTCACCTAAAAAGAAGGCATAATAATGAGTCCAAACAAGCACAAAATGTGCGCACACTTAAGCCAAATCACTTACATCCAATGAAAATATTGCTTGGGCCCACACATTATATATCACCAAACATAAAAAAAAGCTCAACTTGTTGAACGGCGGCAGTTGAGCTTCACTTCTTCCTATCTCCTAAAATGGAACATTGACGAAGAAACAGTTCCTTGCCGACAACTTCCATTATAAAGCCTTATCTTCTTGGTAGGTCTATAACTAAATCAAATTACCCTTAACCATTGCCATCAATCCTTCACCGCCCGATACCGCCATCAGACCACCACCTGACTGCTGTTACTCGACCGTCATCTTCATATCATGGCTGCCTAATCTCTATTGTTTAAGCATGGTTATTTGATTGTAGTCGAACCGTCACTATTTAGAGGTGTTAATTTCGGGTTATGGGTCGGGTTCCGGTTAACCCAAACCTGACTCGTTTTTTACAAACGGGTCTATTTTTTAGATCCGAATCCAACCCGCTTCGGGTCCAGGCCAAAAAATTGCTAGCTTTCGGGTAAAAAAATAAGTCAATCTCCGATTTTTGGGTCAAAACGGGTCAATCTAAGGTTCTCGTGTCAAAAATTGGTTTTCGGGTAAAAACAGATCAATTTCGGGTTTGTGGGTCAACCCAAACCTGATCCGTTTTTTGAAACGTGTCGATTTGTTGAACCCGACCCGTTTAGGGTCCGAGTTAACCCTAACTCGGAATTTTCAAGTCGAGTTCATGTCGAATTTTCAGGTCGTGTCAAATATTAACACCCCTGGTCAAAACACAGTTGCCCTAGCAATGCTGTCAGGCCGTTGTAAGTTGTCACTCAACCACAGCGTTCAAGCAAAATGCGCGCATGATTGATTCGAACTCATAGTTTTTCACATTTTCATATTTTTCTCGTAAATATTCGCACAAAATTAAGATTCAAAACACGCTTATTCTACTGCTGCGAATTTTCTAGCCCGTAATAAATTGGATTATGAAACAGCCATGATCTAGTATGCGTAAAATATAATGGTATAAATAGAACATTTGCCTAAATAAAAAAAAAATGTGGAGGGCTCCAATGGCTGATTTGACATATAAAGAACATCTCTACAGTTCATAATTTGTCTGAAAATATTTATATAAAAAATACTGAAATAAATTAAATTAGAAAAAAAATTTACAATCATTAAATTTATCTAAGATATAATATTAAATGATATATATAGTAATTTAAAATCACATAGGCGAATATTGTCGGCTTGTACCTTTAAATTCATATTATAATCATATATATATATAAATAAGTTTTTAAAGCTCAACTTGTTTCATTATTGCTATCTAATCATGCACGTATCGCAACGCACGTACCTGCTCGCGTTGCCGCCCATGTGCCTGCTGCTGCGCTGGTTGCGCGCGGGCCGCGCAGTGAGAATACTTAGCGAATTTAGTATGAAAATTATAAAAATGTATTTTTTTATGTTGAACTTTTGTTTTTTAAAGTTATCTGATATTAGCAATTCTGATTATAAAAAAATAACATCTCATCAAAAAAAAAATTATGAAAAGTACATAAAAGTAGTAGCAGTGAGACGGATTTTTAAAACACACCCTTAATTATGATTTAAATTAAATTATATGTGTTAGGATGTGCTCGAGCATGAGTTTCATCGGATGAGAAAAATCTCGCAACTACTGAGACACCGCCCTTTTTCATGAAATTTTTTAAACGTAATCTACGTTTTTAGAAGTTAATAGGAAGTATGCTCAAACTCCTATTATCAAAATGGAAGTCAAGTCGCTCAATCATGAACCTCATAACCTTACCTCATCCACATAATATTTTTCTGTACATAATAAAATAATTCATATATTAAATCTATCATGAACATAATTACTTAGGGTCTGTTTAAGATAGCTTTATCGGGTCTTTTTTTTCAGATAGCATCCATAATTTTTTTTTTTTGCCATTGTTTCATTATTTTAAAAAAAAAATTATGATAGAAAGAGTAACTAAGTTGTTTTACCTAAAGCAACTTCAAAATCAGCTTTATAAAAGCTGCAATCATACCGAACAAACTCTTAGAAATTAAACTTTGTGATTTAAAATTAAATATAAATAATTTAAATTAATACCTATCTACTTTATTTAAATATGAAATTAAATAATGAAATTCAATACTTCAACATGGTTGTGACATTTTTCTCATTGAATCATCTTCTAATACACTAAATTCAACTCATAGAGTACTTAGGCTCTACACTCCCAAAACCAAACTATAAGCTTTCAAACTAATCCAAAGAATAAGTATGCATGCTAACAATAGCCATGTGAAATAATTAAACAAATCCCAAGCTTAATTATGTGATTAAGTATTTATTAAATATTTAAAATAATTAAACAAATTAGGTACAAAGCTTGATTATTATACTAAATAAACTCACACAACCAAACCCTAAGCATACTTAAATTTGAATGAAAATTCTATTCATTAAATTTATTTTTAAATTATTATAATATTACTATTAATCAATCAATTTTTATGCAATACTCCTCTTAAAAAAATAATAAATTAAAAAAAAAAAACTCACTTGAACTAAATTCTTTCATAAATTCACTTTATGAAAGGAAAAAAAAAGTATTTTTGTTGATTTTTTTTTCAATAAATATAAATTATTTGTTCAAAAAAATTATCAAAAATTAATTAAATTATTTCTAATGAAAAACGGCGGTGAAAAAAAAAATCAAAGGTGATTGTTAATTGCCAAATTATTTCCTTCTTAATTTCCCCCCAATTTTTGTTCGGCCTTATATATTTCTCCATCATTCCCCTGTAGCGCCCTAATTGTTCTATCTCTTTGTTGTTGGATCGACATAGCGTGCAAGATTGGCTGACAGCCAAACTTAGGATTTGTTAGGGACAACTTTCTTAATATTGATCTAAAACGATGTTTTAGTTGAAAATTTTTTTGAATTATAATTTTTTGTACTAAAAGCTGTTTTAGAAATCAATGAGAAAGTTGTTCCAAACGAAGCTTTAGAGTGCAATCGCAACTATTTTTAGAATCATCTAGTACATTTTCTTTTGTTTTTTGCTTCACAAGAAATTTTTTTTAAAATAAATCAAAATTTTCATCCACATTGATTTCATCAGCGATTTTACCAAAAATTACTTATTTTTTTAGTGATAATAATAAATTGATATGTAAAATAATTATACAAAAATATATAAACTTAATAGAGTAAGCGTTTCATGTCAACAGAAGTAATTACTTTCCATTGAAAAAAGGGCCAATTAATGAATATTTTCCATTTTTCAATATGATTTTCCAATTGGGCCCCATCATTTCTTCATAATTATTTCGTTAAGCGTATACGCCAGCCTTTGCAAATCTTCACATGCCTTGAAAACCCTAATAATATTTTCAATTTCATCCTTCTCATTTTTATTAATTACAAAAAATTACACTATTATTTTTAAGCTTTGCAAAACTGTCGGCCGTAAAAGGACGTACGTTTCCAATGTCATGAAGACGACGACGGCTCGCCCAACTTGATGAGAATTTAAGTAGTCGAAAGAAATCAAACAAAAGAGGGAGATTGTAATATAATTATTTACAATTCAAACCAAAATTATAGGTCAATTAAATAATATTTAAAGGTTTATATAGTATTTTATAAAATGGCTTGTTCTTGGCCTTAGGGTAAGGGGTTGGGCATTGATGATGTGAGGAGGGTTTCTCCAAAAAGAGGTTGTGATATCATTTTCATTTCCATAATTATTTGATGATTTTATTTATTTATTTACTTCGTATTAATTTCATGAAGGATATAACAGACATATTTTTTCGAAGCGGTTCATATTATCTAGGGATGTAAGTCAGTCAAGCTGACTCATGAGCCGGCTCGAGCTTGATGAGGTAACAAGTCTTGAGTCAGCCCTGACTCGACTCGTTAACTCATGAGCCAGTACATTTAAATATACCGAAAATATATTGGCATTCATGACTTTGAGAATTATATCTCACTTTATTATAATAATTACTTGAATAATAATCATTTTCACTCTTTCATTGCAAACTAGCTAGATCGTGTTCGTAGAATAAATCTCGAGCTCGAGCTCAAACTCGATTAATTAATCAAGCTCAATTCAAGGGTGACTCGAGCTCCAGTTGACTCATTTGTACCCTTGATACTATTTGTAAATTAGGGTTATCAATGCAAGCTATAAATTTAACATAATTCTTCTTCGTTCGGCATTAATATATATGTATATCAAACTTTTATATATGGTGATGATCAAGATTGAGGGAAAAAAAAGGCGTGCAGTGATCGATCTGTGGAGTCTATGTAGCCCTTTTTAGATTGCGCATCCGATCAAGACGATATTTGATGATGTATTAATAATAATAATTTTTTTAAAAACTTTAGCATTACTCAAATATAAACTCCCAAAAATAATAATCACCTATTTGTTATGTACAGTTATTGAAGTACATACATCAGCATGAGATAGACATTTTAACTAGTAGAAACCATGATGAGGTTCTCAGACTCTGATCCAAATCATTCTCCATGATAACCACCACATGAGGAAGATAATCAACATATGCAAATAATTATTGCTTATGACAATTTATAAATTTGGATGATTTGGGACTCTTAGGGTCTCTTAGGGGTTATTTTTAAAAATAAATCCAATTATTTTTAGAAAATATTTAAAATAATTTTATCATTTTTATACTATTTTAAAATAATCATAATAAATAGTCGTCGATGACCGTTATCATTGTTGTATATAACTTATTCAATATTCAATCAAAGTCCTACATGGGGTCCTGGTTGGGTACGCTTTTGGTACCCATGCCCACCCATGGTGACTTTCAGGATGCCGTGCTCATATATACCCACCCACTTTCCATGCTCTTTGAACGCAGTTTGCTATACAGACTGATGGCCTTGAGGCTTATTGCCCTTTGCTTTGATTGCAAACTTTCAAGCCATATATCAGAATTTACCGTAGTCGCAATGTGGTTAAGTGCTGCACACTACATAGTGGAGATTTCAGTAAGATAAGATATACGATGATTAATAATGTAAATCGATTTATCCCCCGACGTTGAGTACTGACACCCACAAGGCAATGGGTATACCCATACTGGTATGTGCATGGGTGGGTTTGGGTATGGGTACCCAATGCAAGGCTCTGTATTCAATACAAATAAAAATATTGTACTTTTTGTTGCGGACTAGAAAATACGCGGCGATAGAGATTTAATTCTGCGTCTTAACGTTGTACGTATAACTAGCTCACACACAGAGAACACAAGATTTTTCATGTCAAAATATAAATAAAATAAAATTAAAATTAATAAATAATATATAAAAACAAAAGGGAACATAAACATCTATGATCCTATCAGTTTTCAAGAAAAAAATAGAAAGCAACAAGCATTAAATTGGGAAATAGCTACAATTTTCTTATTCAACAATTAGTTTAGAAGAAGTTTATCAGATTTTAATGCTGATCAAAATTGCATTAAATCAAAAGAAAATTTTGATTAAGACATCTTAATCAAATTTTACTCCATAATGCAACAAATTTATGAGTAAATTACATAATTATTATCATATTTCAAGATATTTATCTCTCCTGCAAAATGTAAAGAAATTATTATCTTCCAAATCCAGAAGAATTGTCCTCTTTTCTAACTAAAATTGTCCTCAGTGAATAATTTTTTTCTTTTTTAAATTTAGATTGTGATAAGAAATAGAATTAAGCTACCTCTAAAGCAAACAGCAAATCAAGCAGCAATACCATATTCATTCAGCTTCACAAATTAAGCTAATAAGATAAAGACATTCAATAATGCACTTTCTAAGTCTGTTAAACCAACTAAAAACCTCTCCAATGTTTCCTTCTTCAATTACTCTTCTTTGTCTGTAATGACTATTAGTACTGCATCAACCCCACAGGCTTCTCTGCTTCATCATCTAGGCCCTTCTTCTGCTAATGGGACCTCCTTTCTTCCTATTTAAATCCACACCCTTTAGCTCTAAAGGTACAATATTCAGTCTTCTCCCACCATTAAAACTCTGCAACCACCTCCACTCACCCTATCTTGCATGGCCCTCCTTCCTCTCTTCCTCTTCTTTCCTTTTCTCCTTCTTGTCAATTCTCAGCCTTCTCCTGGATACTACCCAAGCACTAAACTAAGTCCACTTAGCTTTTATCAAGGATATAACAGCTTATGGGAACCTCAGCATCAAACAGTCTCTCAGGATCAATCCTCAATCACAATCTGGCTTGATAAATACTCAGGTAAAATTTCATACATTTTGAATTACTCCACCCTTTCTTCTAAATCATGTTCTGAATTTTGATCAATATAGGAAGTGGATTCAAATCGAAAGACCCCTATCAAAGCGGCTACTTCGCTGTTTCAGTTAAGCTCCAGAGCGGCTACACTGCTGGAGTCAACACAGCATTCTATGTGAGTGAGGTTTCGTTTGGGACGGCTTTTTTCCTGTTTCTTAAAACAACTTTCTAAGTTGCTTTAAGAAACAATAAAAAAGCCGTCTCAAACGAAGCCTGAATCTTCTTTAAAAAAATTACTATGCAAATAAAAGTAAAGTAAATCTTTCTTTTTCTGCCGAATACAGCTTTCAAATAATGAAGCTCACCCTGGATATCATGATGAGGTGGACATTGAATTTCTGGGGACCATACCAGGCAAGCCATACACTTTGCAGACAAATGTTTATGTTATGGGGAGTGGTGATGGAAGGATTATTGGGAGGGAGATGAGATTCCACCTTTGGTTTGATCCAACAGCTGATTTCCACAATTATGCAATCCTGTGGAATCCTGAAGAGATCATGTGAGTAATCTTCCATCAGTTGATCTAAAAAGATCACAAAGTTAACAGATGTGCACATTGATTTGATATAAATTTAGGCCTAGTTTGGGACGGCTTCCTTTCGGCTTCTTAAAGTGGCTTTTTAGTACAAAAAAATTAAAATTTTGTACTAAAAAAGCCGCTTTAAGAAGTAATAAGAAAGCCGTTCCACCTTATTCATGAACATGTGTTACTCTACCAGTGGAAGGCTAATTATATGTTGTTAATGGTACAAATTTATTTAGAATTGACAACTAAAATGGGACCCTTGTCTTTTTAATTTTCTTGTCTTCTTGTTCTTGTTGATAGCAGCAGCAATCAGCATTACATCACACATGTTCAGACAAAATAAATCAATACAGACTTCTCCTTACCTGTTTCACATAAATCAAAAGAAATCTATTTGTTTCTAGTGAGAGTAAAGCCTCATATTCTCTTAACCCTTTTCTCCTCCTACTTTATTTCTCAATCATTGCCATGAAAAACTCCTAAATTTCATTTGGAAATGTTTTCTAGCTTGTATGACAGGGCTAATCAGAAGTTACAAGAAACATTTTTTATGAAACAAATCACCTATTTCTGCAAATAAAATGAAGACCAAATTTCTATATTCTTCTCAGATTCTTCGTTGATGATATACCGATACGACAATACACAACAAATAATGACGCAACTTTTCCTCGCCGTCCGATGTGGGTGTATGGCACCATATGGGATGCATCATCATGGGCCACAGAGAATGGAAAATACAAAGCAGATTACAATTATCAACCCTTTATTGCCAGAATGACAAAGTTTCTAATCGGCGGATGCTCGGCATATGCAGCAACAAGCTGCCGGCCGCTGCCGGCATCTCCGACCGGCGTCGGGCTCAGCAGCACACAGTACATGGCCATGAGATGGGCTCAGCAGAACCATATGGTTTATGATTATTGCAGGGATTCTTCAAGGGACCATTCACTCACTCCTGAGTGTTAATTAGTTGGAAAATGTTACTTTCTATAAAGAAATGGTCACAGGCACAGCTGCCCTTCTACTATACTCCAAATGTTTGGCTTTGCTTAGTAGTTGAGGCGTTTCAGGTCTTTTTGTTGTACTATTTTGTGTGTGCTTTGTAACTGTGAATGATTGTTGCTTTGCTTTTGCTTGTGGGAAAAGAAAGCCTTGAAGGTGGAGTAAGTAAAACAAGAAACAGGAAAACAGAAAGATAATAAATGGCATTCTTTTGTCAATGTTGCCTTTGAATGATTAGAATATGATTTTGCTATTGGAATAAGAGAGATTTTGAATTGTGACATCTCTAAATAAAATATTTTCTTTATATCAAAATATCATATTTATTGCTATTGCTAGTTCTATTCAAAGATAAAATGTCTTGAACAAATGCATGAAAAATAAAGGATATTGAAAAATCCATTTCATGTGATGCAAGAAATATTCATTTTTTGTGAAGATGATTAATAAAAAAAAAAAAGAAAGGATCTTAATATGATATTTATTTATCTTAAGAAGGTATATGAAGCAACATGATAATTCATTCAATATGTATCAAGAAAAGCTATATGTCAAAGATCTATGAAAGTTATTATAGAATGTATGATGAAGCATTGATTAGTAGGAATAGTTAGAAAATGATCAAAGAGTATGCAAACAGTATAATTTTTTCAGTAAGTAAAGGCATTAATTTAAATTTTTTATTGGTTATTAGATTAATTATTTTTTAATTAGTAATATTACTAGATTAAAATTAGGGGATGGCTCTTGGCCTCCCTATGTTTTGGATAAATCATCTTACAATTATGTATAATATGAAATTTTTTTCTTCTCTTATAGCCATATAAAGTATGAAAACATTCAAGTATTATTAATTATTATCAAGCATTATTTCTATAAATTAAACGTGACACCTTAGCGTGAAATATTTAAGCATATTGAATTTATTATAAAGTATTCGAAAAAGAAAGAGTGGACCTATAATAACTCTGCTAAAATTTATTCAAAAAGACTTGTAAAAAAGAAAAAAATTTAACACTTTATGTAACACTGAGTATACAAAAAATGAAGGAAAAATGAAGATTGACACTAAGAAGGCCTCAAAACATTTAGAACAAGGCAAATGATAATGACACTAAAGACTTTTTTATGCAATGCCAAATCTAAAAAAAATGGGTAAAGTTGAATTGAATTGAATTTAGTGGAGAGAAATGCCTTGTCCCTATCATAAATGTGGGTGGTGTGGTGGATCTCATTTCATTTCATGTACAAGAGAAGATTAGTTTCTTCTTATATAGATAAGGTTTCTATTATATCCTAAAGCATATATGGTCAAGAATTTGGCCCTCTACATTTTATATTTTTATTATTCATTCCTAATAATGCTTTAGCTAGTGTAAGATCTAGTTGAAATACCCATCAATGTAAAGAACTTTGAATGAGCTCTAAGGGCATCTCCAACCGAACTCCAAACGCTTAAATGGCGTCCCTGGCCAGCTCCAGCCGAACCGCAAAATTTTCGCTATTTGGCTGCAGGTGAACAGTGGGACGCCAATATTGGCGTTGCACTGTTCATCTATGCCATTTTTACCTCTCTACCAAACTTGCGGTTGGAAAAAAGAGGCGACCGTTACCTGCAAATGGGTGAAAAATGGAGCTCGATTGGAGATGAATCACGGCATTTTGCAGTTTCACGGCATTTTGGAGTGAAAAATGAGATTTTCGGTTGGAGATGCTCTAAGAATGACCACAGAAGATGCTCTCGAGGAGTAAGCATACATAATGGGGGAATTAGCATTTCACATAAGAAGTGTTGCAAGAGCTTCCCACAAAGCTTCTATAGTATATTTAGCTACATGTGAATTTTCTGATCTAACTACTTAATAGCTAATCTAAAACAACATATCCTTGGATCATAATGTGGAGACCTATAAACATGACAAAGATAGAAGGGCAAGCTGATGCTGATGAAGAACACTAGCTGCTACTGTTGAAGATGAGGCCAATCATGACCATATTGGTTAGTAGTTTAATCATTTCAAAGAGATTCTTGGACGCTTAACTGCTTCACCCATAAGGTTTTAGGATAGCATCTTTGAAAACAAAACTTGGGCCAATAATAATGTACCTAATGCTTTTGAGTTTTGATGCATCAGTATCAAATGCAAGCTTAGAAACGGTTAAGTAGTACAGAATTTAGTGGGGAGAAAAGTACCGCACTCCTGCCCTCACCAACTGGTGTGGACAATCTCATAATATGTCTGAAAGACCAGCATTTTTTTATGATAGTGATAGAGACTTCTATTATATCCAAAAGTATATATATATATATATATACACACGGGTACGGGGCCAAATCCGAAACTGTTTGATCCGACCCATTTTTTTGCAAGTGGGTCGATTTTCCAAATTCGAACCTGACCCGCTTTGGGTATGTTTTACTAAAATTTTTTATTTAATTTGATTTATTTAAATCTAAATCAAATTAAGATAAGATTTACTTCAATCAATTTAAAATAAATCAAGCTTAATTTAATTTGGATAACAATGTTTACTATTTTTTAGAAATATCATTTACTATTTTCCTTCTAGAAGAAGAATGATTATTTTCTTCATGATTTCATTTTAGGAAAGTTTGCTTTACACTAGAGCTTTTAAACTAAAAAATATTAAAAGATGTGAATTAACATTTTTTTTTTTCATATTTTAGAATAATATAATTATTTATTAAATATTACAGGATTTCTTTCTTGTGTGTTTATGGCCACTGGAGAGCAACGTGTTATGGGCCGTTATGTACGTGATGGCATTGGAATGAGTAGAGATCTTTAGTGGGCCTGGGCTGAGTCCAACATCTTTATCTTCCATTTGAAGAACATGCTCATAAAGTTACTTGGGAAGAGAACTTGGCATTCTTCTCACACGCATAGTAATCTATTTATACAAAAAAATAATCATAGTGTTCATATTCACCTCGAACACATGCTAATTAAGGATTAAATTTCATTGAATTATAGTAGTTTTCATGAAGATTTAGGTTTCGCTTGATACTGTTTTTTAAAGCAACTTTTTAGACGGTTTTTTTACTGTTTTTTAAAGCAACTTTTAAATTTACGGAATAGATCATGAAGATTTGACGGCTTCGTTTCGGACGGCTTTTTTCCTGCTTTTTAAAGCGGAGTTTTAGTATTAAAAAATTTATTTATTTTACTAGAAAGCTGCTTTAAGAAACAATAAGAAAGCCGTCCCAAACGAAACCTTAATAAGGCTTTTTTTATTGTTTTTTTGGGAGCATAAATGGGAAAATAAGATGCCACGGGGCTTAAATGATATGGATGGCCTACACTTAATTTTTTTTTTTTTTAACTTTCTGTATTTTTATTATAATTATTATTTATGAATTGCATATCATTTGTGAGAGCTACACGACCAACATGTTTTCATTTACTGTGAGATTTTTATGGTAACAAAGGGCTTAAATAAGGGCTGTTTGGTTTATTGCAAAAGGGACATAAAATATTCTAAATGTAGGGATTTTGAAAATATTAGAATTTAATTTGAAGTAAAAAGAATGTAAAGTAAAATTTTGAAGTAAAATAAATTCACCCTTTAATTCAAATCCAGTGCATTTGAAATTCCTCAAATTTGAGTAATTTACAAATACATCGCAAGCTCACCGCCATAGCCTCTACCGGTTGACACGCCCACCGTTGCTCATTGGCCACCACCACTAACCACCCGCCATCCACCGCTGCTCGACAGCCAGCACCAACCACCACCGGCCATTACCCGATTACCATGACTGCAACCTTTTTACACTTTATATTGCATTCATTTTACTTTAAAAAAAAAAAATCTCATGCATTTTTTTTACAATCACCCAAACTTAAAAATATATTTTTTACCACTGCATTTCTTTTTCAAGCAATCAAACAACCCCTAAGATATTGTTAGGTTTTTTTACTTTACCTTCTTAGGTTTCATAATTTCTTATAGAAGAGAGAGGCAGCTTCTTCACATGATTGACTGAAAATTTTACAATCAAAACTCCATTGAAATCTGCAACGGTAATAATAGGAAGTTATTATCAAGACAGTAAGCCTATATAAAATCGTTGGTATATTTTGTGAGTTGTTCTTCTTTCTATTTTATTTTCTTCCAATATTTGAATTAAGGTTTCGTTTGGGACGGCTTTTTTATTGCTTTCTAAAACGGAGTTTTAATACAAAAATAAAAAAAATTGTACTAAAACGTAGAAAGCAATAAAAAAGCCGTCCCAAACGAAGCCTAAATCTCATATAATTTCCAATAATAAAGAATGGGATAGGACGATTAAGAGAAATTGCAGAGAGTACTGAAAAATTAAGAAAACAAAAAAAACTCCTCATTCTAAGTGAAAAGCAAACAAAAATATTCTAAAATGAGCATAACTGTACACAAGCATGAACTCAGAAGCAGCCCAGCTACAAGAATTGCCAGAAATATAAAGAACAATGAAATTAATCTAAAGCAATGGGAAATTCCAAGCATATGCTATGGTTGCTTCTGGTAATCAAAATATCCATTAACCAAAATAGAAAAGACTCATTTCAAATAATACTGCTCTGCGTGAAAATATCGAATTTTTTTTTTCCCGCAAACTATTATATTCATATCCATTTAATAAAAGGAATTTACAACAAAGGCCCAAAAACAGACAAACGCAAAATACATCTTTAAAAGAAAAGGGAAAACATTCTCCAACGAATGGACAAATAATGACGAATATAAAAGAGCCAACCAACCGGACTCTGTAAATGGCAAGAGGTTCCCTGCAACCACCCCGTAGTTTGGCAAGGACCATCTAATAGCGGTAGCAACCCACAAAACACAAGCATCATCCCACAAGCCACACAGACAACCGACGAGCACGAAAGCATGACCACCAACGTTGCCAATAAGCCAAGGCCTACAAGGTGATGAACAGAGAGCCGCCTCATCATTGTCCAAAACACCAATAAATTATGCATAATTGAAGCACGCAACATTGAAAGAAAGGGGGTCAACCAAAAGGACTATTTCTTCTACGCCTTTTGCCACCGCCATTGGATTCTGCTTGATCAACAACGCGACCCACCATGAAACTATACATATCATGAGACTCATTTGCATACTCACCAAAATCATCATCCCCCCACCACCCCACCCCCTAACCCGGGGTAAGTGAATCATCCAACCAGACAGATTGATTCAAACTTGAGTTATTCAATGACATAACCGTGAAAATATCGATTAAATATACTCAGTTGCAGTCTTTACAAGCTTCCCCCAATAAGGGAAGAAAACTAATAATCAAGGGTTGAACTTAAATCAGGCGAGTAAATATTAGCACTTATAATCATGAAAGTAAATAAAGGTTTTACAACAGAAAGCTGTTACCAGCTGAAAGCTCCTACCAAGAACCCATTTAGCTATAGGAAGGTCAATAAACAGTATCTAAAAGTTGCCGGTTAATGACAATGTTGCCGCAGGTGTTTGTTTTGAGTTGACAAGAGAATTCACATGAACCCTTTTCATAATTGCTCTATACTATAAACCAATGCCATTAGAAAGCAACGCAAGAACTAATAATAGCAAAGAAACAAATACTTTATCAAAGCCACTGATGAGAATGCATACCTGTTCTAAAGCAACAGGGATCAAGAAAAGCCTTTCCATGGAATCTTCAAGGAAGAAATAATACATGAATCTAAAAACAAGAAAAAACCTGCAATTTATTCTCACTTACGCAACCAAGTAAGCCCAATCTCACTGAACATGAATACTTAATGTCAAGGATTGGATATTGATGAGGCTGGTAACGAGAATGAAGTTGAAAGGATGGCAAGTTCCACAGGCACAGACCATGAGTTGACTCATCACCACAAGCAAACAATGGGTTCTTTCCTTCAGCGCATATAATTGCAGACTTCGACATCCTCACTTCACTTACATAACAACTAACCACATGACCCTTCTGAAAATATGTGCCATTAATTCTCTTGAGGTGAACATGAGAGCCCAATTTCCCTGCTAAATGGAGAGGCTGTGAGGGTGATGCTGGAGTTTGTGAAGGCATAGGATCCCTGGAGATCTCCATCTTAGGACGAAAGGAGGCTACAATATCAGTGCCAGAACTGTCGCATGCAAGTGAAATACAAATGCCTTGACTCCCTAATTCAGGTATCAAGAATGGCCTGCATTTGGATTAAGGAGAAACATTCATTAACGTTAAAAATATGATTTTTCTAATTTAACAATAAAATAAAGTTATTCTGATTGAAAAAATTGAAAGTGTAAGCTCAAGCATAATGCCGTAAGACCTGAACTAATATATGTTTCCTGAGAATATGAAAGCGGGGGAACCAATAATGTGTAATTGCATATAATGAGATGGGGGATAGGAAGGCTTTGGATGGATTGAATTTGAAAGCACATTGGTCTGGATAGATTTCAGAAATTTTGCCCGAGGGACAATAAAGAAGGTCAACAAAAACTTCACTTGTAAGGGTAGGTAATATGGATTGTTTAAACACCAGATTCACTATCACTGGAAAGAAAACATTATTGTAAGTAACAAAACGAGCTTGTATTTATACCTGCAAGTTCTAAAAAAGATGAAATAGTACCCTTCACCCTGGAAATTGGATCTTTATGATCCAAAGATGAAATCATGAAAGGGGGTCGTCAATATAAATATTCACTTAAAAGAAAACTACAATAAGAACCATCCCTCATAATTTAAGTATCAAATAGTTAATGGATCAAAGATATCATGATTTTTGAAGTTTAAATGGTCAATTTTTATTGAAGTTGCAGATGATGATGACTTTTAGATCACACAATTGAAATTGAAGAGGAGTGATTATAATCAATTGGATATTATGCAAGGGAGCTCAAGGAAGCTGGACCGTTGTATCAAGTTTGATATTATAGCAAGATAAGAATGAACTAAAAAAAACTATAAGTTTACATTTATATTTAAATTCAAATTAGGATAATCCCTACTGGCATTATCATTTAGCTTGAAAATCAGAACTCATAAACTCTTCCTCTTCCCCTACTTAATCTTCTCCAACCAAAATCCATCCCTCGGATTTACATGCACGAGCCCAGTAGCATACCACTTGGGCGCTCTAGGTACACTTGTCTACAACAATCTAAGACTCAAACAGCTAGTTGTTTGTTGTCCCAGCACAAAGGCAACCCAAAAAGAGCGAAATATCTAAATGAAAAATCAAGGAACAACACTTTATTGTTGTCTTGAGAAGAAAGAATAGAACAACGTGGGGAGAACTTGCTGGAACAACGGGGAGAGTCCAAAACAGATGGAAGAAGTCATCTACAATATGAAATAGAGCTCGCGATACCTATAATTGGTTAATAGATAAATAGGGAATCTCCTACAAAATTCCTTAAGCCTTTCTGAACCATTGTAACTTCCCGTTGTGATCTTATGCAAGAGCATTAAGAGTTTGGCTACCAATCAAATTAGTCGGAATGCGCCGTTCTTTGGTGCATGGTACAAACAAAGAGAGGATATAAAGACAAGGTAGAGCCACTTCTTGTCTTGGAGTAGCATCAAAAGAAAAGAAAAAGACAAGGAGGTTAAGGAGAAGAAGAGCAAAGTGAGGAAGAAAATCAATCAATAGTTAATAATTATTCTACAATAAATCTAGCTAATCGATTGGCTAGGCTAACAGAAACTATAGCAGTATTCTTCATTCCCCAAGATGACAAACAATAATCCAAAGGCATATTGTGGTTGTGCATAGTGTTGCTTCAAGAATGCCTGTCTAGGAAAATATAAAAAAGGAAAAAAAAAAAGCACTATCACATATTATAAATCTCCGAAGGCTGATTATAAACGTCTAGGAAAAAATGTTGAGGAAGATTACGGAAAATAATGTGAAGACCCTGTTTGACTAGCCTTTTGTATAAGTTTCTTTAATAATTTATTAAAATACATAAAGCATTGGCACATTATGAATTAACAACAAAAAAAAACATCAGTAGGCAAAAAAAAGGAGGGAAAGACTAATTTATGGATAGAACCCAATGTATTGTGGGTAGCATAGTAGAACAACCTTTCTCTAGAATCACCAACATCCCACAAGCATGGGCCAATTGAAGAAGCAGTGAGAACCTTTCTGGAACAATGATTTTCCTCAAGTGAGCATATAGAATGAATAGGGAATCTGGACAAACCCTCAATGGATTCGAGGCAACCTGCAGTTTGACGTACATCGAACATCAAGAGCATCCCATTCTGTTCATAGTAAAGAGAGATGGCAGCTTAAAAATTAAGTGATTATGAAACTTTCTAACATACAAAATGAATGAAGAAATGCTTCCATAAACTAGAAACCTGCAATCCAGCATAGATATGGTAAGGTTCATTCACATCTCCTGAACATGACCAAGCAGGTACCTGAGGGGGAAAAAATTCAAAATAAAGCTTCAAATGCAGATCATACTTTTCTTAAAAATTATCCTAGAGAAATGCCATGATATCTTTTTTATAGAATTCCACAGGCTAAACAAAACTTGGAGATAGCAGCGATGGTTTTCAAGTGAAGAAAAAATTGATGGATCACAATTCAAATGCTCGAATTGAAAATAGCTTCAAAATTAAACTTATTAGTGCGGGTCATTGATCTACCCATGTGATAAGATTGCATCATGCCCCTACACATTTTCACAGATATATCAAAGAAAATTGAGAAGAGTGACTTAGTTTAGCCCAAGTAGACAAATAAGCAGAACCAATGGCCCAACATTCAGTCACTACATGGACTACGGGTTGCTCTGCTCAAGTTTAGTTCAAATGAGCTATCCATTTCCTTGCTTCATCAACGACATGGCAACAACCATACTCTTTCAGGTGCGTCAATAGTGAGAGCTTGATTCTCCAGAGTTGAAACCAAAACCATCAAGCCTCTCCACTCCACTTGGTCCAAATGACTTGCATATTTCCAACAAAGTTGCAGTAAGTTGATCCAGCAACAAAGGCAAATGATAACTACTCCAGTAGAATCCACAACCCAACCGGTTGTGTGCTCCCCAATCACCAAGCAAAATACAATAAATCAGTTAGGCATATCTAATACATCCCGTGCAGTTACAAAATCATGAATCAGACCACCACATGCGTCACAGTTATTTGAGCATGTATACCAACTGGAACAGAACCTCGAATATGTAGGGTGGATTTCAAGATGCATTGCCTCATACACATAGGATAAAAAATTATATCAATTCATAAATACCCCATCACCCTCATTATTCAAATTATGCTAATGCATTATTCAAATTATTATGGGTGACATAATGAATCCTTCTTTTTAATTTGTTCTAATCAAGTGTTGTAAGAGTTGTTAAACCTACCTACTTCAAATCACTTTGAACAACTTCTATCTATATAATCTTAAGTTGACAGCTTTTCTTTCTTAATCCTCTTATATTAATTTTGACAGCTTGTCTAATAGGTGCCTTCTTACCATTCATTTCACATGTCCAAACCACATAAATTTATTTCCAATCACCTTATCTTCAATAGATGTCACATAAAATCTAATGAAATAAAGCCTATAAATACTTATTTGGATAAAAAATTTAGGATCTTTTAGAATCCTCATGCACTTGAGAAAGATAATTTGGCTTTTTTATAACAAGGGGTTCAAGGAATGAAGAAAAAAGTTTTTATTATAATCTCTCATCTCATCTCCTCAAAGTAATTTCTCCTATCAAACTTTGTTCCATTCAACAACATTAATCCCAAAGCATTCACATTTTGGCAGTTTCACTGAGTTCATGAGGAAGAATGATGCAGGACTAATTTAAATGCTATATACGTCACTGATAAACCTTGCATGCTGATCTGATGTCCCCATCAAAGAAAATGAAATGCAAACCTAGAAACCGTAAGGAACCTAGAATGCCTACTTCTTGTCAGGATGCAGGAATCATAACATGTCATCGTGAGTTTCCCAAAATTGCTTTTGCAATTTAAGCTCGGTTGAATGAGCTAAATGCAAAATTGGACAACTTGGTGTAGTTGTTCGTGAACACTGAAAAAAAAACTGTAGTCACAACCCTCACTCTCAAAACTTACAGTACAATAAGCTTGAAGAGGCCACCCACTCATTTTGATCCTGAACGTGTTATTAGTAAAAAATTATCCTATTCTTAAAGCTAAATGCTAGGCGAAGAGGGTCCAAATTAAGGCGTGAGAAGAAATTTTAATGCCCAATAAGGATCAAAGTCTTGTGTGGTCAATGTATCATCTATCTTAGCATCATCACTATGATTCTAGAGAAGCCATCCCATCGAAAGTTCAAGGTTCCAAAACTCGGGTCTTTTAAGAGGCTAACCAACCCAGCTAAGCACTTGGTTGAATTCGAGGCCATAATGCCCCTTTATTCGGTATCTGATACCAGTAAATTTTATATTTGCCTCACCATCATCAAAGATAACCATATACTATTTCTCAAAGATATCTCCATGAAGCCATGGTTCTTTTAAAGAGTTTTAGCAACAAATTATCATGCAAATTTTTATTTTTTCTTTACACTCCTATGCTTTAGTTGAGGCGAATTTGAGTCCTACTCTTTCCTCACATGGTTCGCAAGTGATATGTTGAATTTTTTTCAACCAAAATCCTTCAATTTCTAAGTTGATTCTCTTTCAAGTGCTCAAAGATAGACACTTCAATTTTGCATTTGACAAGAGCCTGCCAAAAATGATGGAAAAAGTTGTTAAAGAAGGCAATTAAACATGTTAACACAAAGTAATTCATAAGAGCCTCAAAGGAGCCATCATCCTATACCACAATCCTTCTTCGGAAGAAAGGGAGAGATCGAGCAAAGAATATTGATGGTTATTGAAATTACTCGATTTATGCAACAAAAAACAGCCCAACTTGACCAACAATTGCTCGGACTTTCCTAAATCTGCATCACTCGAGCCAAGTCGAGCCACTCCAGCCTCTAATCACCCATTGGCAACTATTATAATGACAATTCAAAGCCAAAAGCAATTTCAATGGCCGAATAAGATCAAAGCCTTATTGAATAATAAAGATGTGAAGAGATTATGTATATAATCCAATAACCATGCCCACAACAGATAATCATCACCATCTCAAGAAGTTAGTACAGAAGATAATCAAGGAGGATGCTTGAAGTAGTTCATAGTAGAATTGTGTTAGTACAAGCAGCAGCCAATCATTGAGCATAGTCTAAATAGCTAACATGATTATAAAAATGGCCAATTAAATAGAATCAAACACATTGCATTAAATAAAAATGTAGAGGGTCAAGTACAACGAGTTATTTCACTCGTTCTTACTCACCTCCAACTATTTTTACAACAGGATTTATCGACAAAGCATGGCATCTTTAACGATGTTGTGGTGAGAGAGGTGAAATGTCCTAATTGACTATAGGAGCTCAATAAACATCATATTCCTTCACACTCTAGAGAGCACATCATTAAAGAAGAATCTTCAACCTTTTGAGGGCATTTAGATTGATTTTTATGATAAAAGGCATGAACCAAAATGCACTGCACTCTTGTAATCATATGGGTTAAAAATTGATACTATGAGATGAGCCATGTTGAGTTCACTATATAAAGAGCTCCATCAACATATAATGACATACTGAGTTGTTCATTATTAAATATTTATCAAGCCATTGCATCAAACCATCAACTTGTTCTGGAAGTTCTAACTTGACATGGTATCATTGTCATCCAAGACAACCTCATCCAATCCAATTTGTGCTACTAACACAATCCAAGCCAAGATGTCCCATATGCTTCAAACTAGCAGTGAGAACAATGATCTTTTTAAAGTAGTCGAAGAAGTTATCAAATTCCCAGTGTTTAAGAAAAATTCAGCCTAAAACCTTTTTAATACTCTCTAATCAAAGGTAACTTCAAAATTGAGCTAATTTCACTCAAAAATAGTGTTGATACTTTTACTTGGGAGTCATCCGAGATGTCAAGGGAGAATCTGACTGAGCTATTTCTATCACTGATAACATGTTTGTCTTAGAAACAAATCAATCACTAGGATAAAAGAGGAATGTTTCTGTGAATGAGGTAGCATATCAGAATGAAAGAGAGCAAACTCCTTTGGGTTGAATTAGTTCAAGAGATAACTACTTTGATTGGGTCTCCAATCTGATGATGACTAAAAGGTCAAACAATAAGAAAAAGATGTGCAATGACTTCAATCCAAACCAAGTTAATCTAAAAGACCATTGACCAATAATGATCATCCATGCTTTAGCAGACTCATTCATGGGGTATCCTATGCTCAACTTCCTCATTACACTGCCCAACTATCGACAGATTAAGATGCACCCAACCAATGAAGAAAAGCAAGCTAATTGAATTGTGTTACTAATTTCATTTGATCTAACGAATGCAAGAGTAATTTATTAGAGACCAATTGATAATATCTTCAAATTGCACAAAGTGTTAAATATTAAAGTGTACATTTACAACCTCCAAGTGAAGGTCAGCAAACCCATATGTGCACCATGCAGGGATCATTTTTCCAACTCTAATGTAGTACAACAGAAGGCTTAATCCCACTAAATGTGTTATGTAGGACTATTCAAAAAGTTCTGGAGTTACTTGATATCTTGGAGTAGCATAAAAACAAATCAAGACAGTTTGAACCACTATGGAGATTATTTCACCTTGCTTGATCAAGATGGTCCAAAAGCAAACTGGGAGGTTGGTCGGCAATAGTCATTTCATCATTCACTCGAGAAATAAGCATACTCCGCTATGTAAGAAATTAAGGAAGATAATGGAGTTAAAATGAATGAAAGTACATGAGAAGTCTTATCTAGAGCTTAAGAACTACGTGGTATATTCACCTATACTCAACAGCACAAAATTGAGTGATCCTTCTCAACTATATCTCTTAGTCAACAACATACCCATGCTAGACTTTACTATCTTGAAAATCTTCCTTAGGGTTCCACTAAAAAAATTGATAGAACTTATTTAAATGTGTTTTAATGTTCACGTTATCAAGCCCACAACATCACTTACTATCCTAACCTACAATAAAGACTCATGGGGCAACGTAAAGGAACTAATCATCAATCATGGATAAATAGAAAACCATAAATTAGCAGATAAATATGGAATACGAGAAACATAAAAGTTGCTACATTGTCTTCTTAATAGTCCTATGTCATATAATCTTTAATTCTTCCACATTGCCCGAAAAAATAACTTTACAAAGCAAAGGTAATGCTGAAACTTTGAGAAACTCCCACTTGTCATATTTGTGATGCATAGCACACAAAAAAAAAACATAAATAACTATAAACTTGTTCAAATTACATCACATATATTCATGTCTATTGGTATTCTGTACATATATGCATGCATGTAAGGAAATTCTACACAGATGCAAACCTCTAAATACATTATATACATCGAACAAGAATTTAAATGCGAACAAGAAAAATAACATCGATATAGAAATGCACCAGTCTATCAAATCTGAAATGTACATATAAACATAAACAAGAATATAATCTCATTTTCATATATATAACATCACAATCTTTCTCCCATTGTCTCCTAGCAAAAGAAAACGATAAGAGTAATTGTTCTATTAACTTATAGCATTATGCTATATTACGAATCAATAAGTTTGAGTTTGATATATTCACCACGGTTACTGAAATTTTCAACAAAGAAACGTAATTTTCACAATTATAACAGTCCGTCCAATAATTTTTCCCCTGTTATTCACAAGCTTTATAATTCTCGAAACTATTAATTTAAAGAAATTTTATTAATTTCTGCCCAAAAGAAACTTGATTTTTTAGGTATTTAAGACAAAATAAAAAGTTGCATTGACAGTCATGAAATTTCATATCACATCAAAAAAGTTGCAAAAGAATGGATAATTACCGGTAAATCGTACTTTAGGACAAGGTTGTTGCTAAACATGCTGAAAAGTAGACAACAGAACAATTAATTTCTTCAGGTTAAACTTTAAAAGATGAGCATTTCAGAAAGAAAAAAATAAAAGAGCATCATGTCCACAGAGCATTTTTGACCTCAAAAGTGATAATTTTTTTCCTAACGATGCAATGAGTGCAAGACTGCCAGGAAGAATACACAGATCTCTAACAGCTCCAGTGTTAGGAGGAAGCTGGATTTGACCTATTTCTCGTTGCCCTAACAGGCTAATCTGTATAGATGAAGAAAACTCGTTGTTAAGTTCTTTAAATTATCAAGATAGAGAGCATAGAAAGAGTTAATTTGCAAAAGTAGACAATAAACCTATACCTTATTCAATATATGCTCACCATCTTGTCCGGGTTTCTTCCCTGATACTATCAAAATTTGACTAGATGCATCAATTCCCAGAACTCGAGCGCCATCAACAGGAATTTCATTCTGTCCAGATGGAATGTTAACAACATACAGGGGGATTATATCAACTTAACCATATAGAACAAGAAAGAAGGTCACCTGCGTAAATGCAAATGTCAAAGTTATCAGATACAGCAGACACCCAAGTTCAGCATATCTAGCAATATCTATATATAAAGGGATGCAACACGAAGACTTCCCAGGAGGTCATCCATCCTAGTACTACTCTCGCCCAAGCACGCTTAACTGGGAGTTCTGATGGGATCCAGTGCACTGGTGCTGGTATGGTATATGATTATGCATGTTGAACAGAAATCTTACTCCACTGCATTACTAGCATACAATGCCTCACATACATATTGGTCCCAAGAAATCATATGATGCGGACATCAGATCATGGAAAGTGTATCAGCGACGAGGACGACGATCTACGGCTACGATCACATCTCTTTATTTCTGATTGATATATTGTATTTTATTATTAGTGTCCTTTTCCACTTTTACTCTCACTTGAAGGACTAGATGCATGTAACCCCAAGGGGGTAATTTGGTCTTTTGTTTTGTTCTTGTATGAAGGCCTATTTATAGCCTTCTTTTTCCCTCTTATGAGGTTAATGAATGAATTATAATTAAAAATTCCTGCACGTGTTTCTGTGGAGAATTGTGAGAGTTCTAGGAGAGAATCCCTTGGTGAAGGGCAAGCAGATCACCCACTAACTTTGGAAGAGTCCGGGTTCATGGCTTTCTTGTTATTCTCTATCATTTCTTTCATCCTCCCCTTTCCCCTTGCCGTTGGCTTAGGATTTTCCAAACCCAAAACCGACGGCCTCCACTTAAAGCCCAAGCCCCACCACCGGCCAACACTCCTTCCCTTTCCCACCTAGCGCAGGCCATTCAAGGTGGCTCACCCCTTGATGGGTTCATCCACTTAATTCCCACCACCACGCCTCCAAAACCCACAAACCCTAACCCTAATCCTAGCCTAGCCGCTGGCCACCCCATCTGCCTCTTGCCTCCAAATTTCAAATCTCTCTACTACTTCTTTCCTTTTCCATACAAATCATTTTGGGAAAGCTTTCATCCCAATCAACCAATCAATATTTGAAATTCGAATTGTTTCCTAAAATAAAGTTCTATTTTAGTAAACTTATCCAATCAAATCCAAATCAAATTTGAATTGGATTGGAATTAATTTCCCCTCCTTGATTTGGAATTCCCAAAGAGGCAAGCCATAAAAAAATTTCCCCCAATTCCCCTTGGTGCTGCCGGCCCCTCCTAGTTCCCACCTCCTTAATGCTTTCCAAAATAAAACCTCTCATGTGGGAAGAATTAAATACTTTCCTAATTTAGATCATCTTAATTTTGGAAAGAATTCAAATTTCAAATTCCAATTAAATTGAATTTGAAATCCTTTCCTAATGAGATTGATTTATTTTTGGAAACTCCCAAATCCTCTCAAATCTTAAAATTGATTGGAGATTTCTCTCTAATTCTCTTTCCACAATTAACAACCTAAGTTTGGAAAGGAATTCTAAATCCCTCAATTAAATCACCTTGTATGGCCGGCCCACTTCCTCTCTCCAATCCCCTTAATCCCCATAATTACTCTCATTAATTCCCTCACCCCAATTAAATCAATTCCTGAATTTAATTCATAGGAGGAGAGAATCAAAAGGAAAGCTCTTAATCTCATACTCCATCTTCTTCCCTTCAACGGATCAGCCAAGACCTGATTTTCCCTGAACTGAGTTGTCGTCCAGGATTTAAAGCTTGTGGACCTGGTGTCCAGATTCTTCCACAAGCCCAAAGTTGCTGCCCCTGCTGTTGTGGTTGCTGTCCATAATTTTAAAGCCTCTGAAACTGCTGTCCAGCTTCTCACACAAGCCCAAAACTGCTATCTCTGCTGTCAGAGTTGCTGTCCAAAGGATTCTGCACCTTTCCTTTGCTGCCCCGCCAATTGGAAAGGTCTCCGGCTGCTGTCCATGGCCTGCAGATTACCAAAATGCTGTCACAAGACAGCTAGGAGGCTCGTGTCGCTGTCCATTCATTTCCAAAGCATCCAAACAATCACGCCGGAGCTCCGTACTAGTCTTTCCCTTGGATAAACTTTTCCTCCTATTCTTATATCTTCCTAATTCACCTTTCAATTGTGGTTTATAGTTTGATTTGCTAAGATTCATGTTGATCCCTCCGCTAAAGCATAGTCATTTAGGACGTTGAGTAAGGGACCATTGCATAGTGACTACTCTTATTGTTAGCATAGGAATCTTGTTCAAAACCTTCCATTTATGCAACGTTAGATTAATTGACTATTTTATGATTTTAACTTCTACGCATGTGATTTGTCCTAAGCTTATTTTATCAGCTTATTGTTTTATCTTATCGTTAAATCAATATAAGTTTTTGTTATTATTGTTCTCTAAATTTAAAACATGCAAATTCCTTAATCAACTCATCTTTACATTTATGTTCTACATCACCACATTATTTTCAAAAGTACATAGTTACACAAACACCGTCCTCTTGAACATATCATGATATGAGTCAGGCCATAAGAAACCATGATTAACATAGCCATGCACTTGAAGCCAAATCATGACAGATCTTTAACACACATAGACGTTGTGATTTGGGAAAATGAACCTGATGCGGCAGCTAGCAACAGCCCAAGTGGGGCCCTTTCCTGTATCACCTATTGTAGAAGAGTTTTTTTTTCTTCTTTTTTTGTTGGGCAAGGGGGGGGGGACTCTTTGGGGAATGGAGAATGCAATGATATGTCTACAATCGACAGCAATGAATCTCACTCGAGTGTCAAAGGATCATCATGTCAATCAACATACAAATATCAATGAGGAAAGTCACCACACAAGATATAAGCTATGTTTAAAGGCAATAAAGGACTCAATGATTCATTAGCCAATACATGTGAAGGGATGCAAAGTCTTTTGGACAGTGATGCAAACCGCATATGGAGGAGGATGATCAGCATGTGATGTTTGTATAATTTATGCAAAAGATACAACAATCCTCACAAACAATGTGATCTTTGGCCAACAGGTTTATTGTAATATACGATGAATATTGGGACACTCCTACAATTAATGTCAAACAACTCGTGAAGGAACACAATAGTTCTCTGCAGACAAAGAAAGTTGACTTGTAGAATAATACAGTAAATTTGCCTACAGTTGAAAACGTTCTTTGTATGTATGTACGGGAGCGTGTAACCAATGCTAGAACATTCGCATAGTCCCTAGCAATACAATGGCAAGCGGATACATTTAAACCCTACAAGCAGAAGGATTCAATGACACTGTTGGAGACCCATGCCACATTCAACATGTTAGTTGCAAAGGATTTGACATGCAGTGAAGACGACAAGGTGAAACATCTAGATGTGTTGAAATGAATGTCAACACACACTATATGGCGCCTACCAGAATTAATGATCAATGTTTGACAAATGTGATGTTAAAGATCAATGCAAATATTGGTGATCTAAACTCACAACTACAAGCAAAAAGTACATACGCTACTCCAACTATGTCAACGGCTGCAACAATCATTTTAGAATGAATATCTCGTATATTTTTCCTGCATGACTCGATGTGCTTTTGTTAGACCGGTCCAGTGGACTGGTCCAGCCGGTCCACACGACACCGGCATTTCACTAACAGAGGTGGGATCTCCGACTCCTGCAGAGATCGGGCGGTCCGAACGCTCAATCAGAGCCCTTTATGAAGGATTTTTTAGGGTTTTGAGAGGGAAATTTGAATGTAGGGAATGTTTAGGGATTTCCTTTTGATTTGTAAGCATTAAATAGTTGATTTTCCTAGGGTTAGGGCATCTTGAATTTGGCTGAAATTTGAGATCTCTTAGATTTTAGGTTTTCTTTGGGCTCTAGTGGCATCTAGAGATTTGGGAGAGATCGATCCTCCTCTCGAATTGAGGATCAATTTTATCTTGTTATTTTCTGTTTTCCTTTCATCAAATAATACAATTTATTAAATGTTTTCGTGATTTTGTGCAGACTTTTGTGAAAAATTATCGCTGTTTTGAGAAGATTGATAGGAAATACTTGCGATCTACAAGTACGTACTATCAGCTTTCAATCGTTACAATGCCCGCTCGAGGAAGTAATTATTGATTTTGACGTATAGGACGTCAGCAAGGGCACAATCATCCAAGGTTGAAATGATTGATTTTTTATTTAAGCCAACAACAGAAAATGATGATGATGACATAACCTAGGAGTTGCCTATCGATCTTTGTACAAGTTTTGGAAAGGAAAGTCGGAGCAAATCATTATTTTCATAAATGGAGTGAATTTCAGTTCAACTAGGTTCTGAACATTGAGCTGGATAAGATTATTGAAGCTTGCAAGTTTTTTGATATATAGTGGTCGTGCATCCAACATGTCTTCTACGTACAAATATTGAAGTATTACGACAAACACAGACTTCTACAAACCATCGTAGAAGACTCGTTGAATATTCCAACAATGCCCCTGCACATGCACCGTAGATTGTATACACATAAGTACACATAAAGGGGGTAAGTGCAATCACAAACATGCATGGGCCCCGACAAGCGTGTTATTGGTACACACGTGACGTCTAGGGATGCTGCTCGGGTCCATAAATGAACGTAGTTCGAGCTCAATCCTTATGTACAGATAGATAGAAGTTGACACGGCTCGAATTATCAAACAGATATATGGTCAGGGTGTCAACCGAAATATCTATTTTATACTTTCATATAAGGCCTTGAAGGCCTCCAACAAAGAAAATTCACCAACAAAACCATAAAGCCTACGAGAAACCCGATCCTCCGTCGACAGCTCAACCAAGTCGACAAGGTTCAATCCACAAATGGAAGTAACCCTATACACCCCGATGATGACCGTGTTGAATACATATCTCAACCGGAGGGGTTAATTCTAAATATTCCAAAATGTTATCACAAATACCCGAAAATCCAAATTTCCAAAACTCATCCAAATCCGGATATTTAAAGTTGAAATAATTCATCAAGTCGCTTAAAGAAAAATTCATCCATCCTCCTCAACAATATGCTGAGGTGGACAAGTCTGAAAAATACTTCAGCTCACATAGAGCTAATGTCTGATCGAGAATATCACTAGGATTCATTCTCAAATAATCTCCTACCAATAAGGACGTGGTACATATCCTCTGACTGACATTTTTGCCGTCAAATGACACTGCAGGATAAACGGTTATGACTCGGGGCCCTATGAACCGAGTGATTTTGTGGCCAGACGGCATCACGAGCTAGATAACAGTTATGGTCAGAGCCAATACGTTTCTTAGTGGCATCAAATCCTTGAGATATGAATCAAAAGGGTATGAACGATAAAGCACAAAGCCTTCTGTTAGCTAAGGTGGAATCAAATTTGTCCCCTTAGACAAACATCCATCTAAGGTCTACAAGGTCCCCTTAGACAAAACAACCTATGGCTACCAACAAGGATCCTTCTGTCATGTTGGGTCAACTACCTCCTCTGACTAAGTAGACCAGGGACCACGATGGTCTGGGACGACGGAACCATGGGATCTTGATCAGTCAATCATCCATTCCCCCACCATCTGTTTTAAGTGCAGGAAGGTGAAATTTTTAATTTTAAATGTTAAACATTCAAATTTCCAAATGCTCATGTTGCTAATATACTCCTGATACTACGTATCTATGGATACAATGTATCTGATTGACAACTAGCCTTAATCGAAAGTTCTCTCTTTTTATCGAGAGGGGTAATTAATTATAAGGGCTTGCGCCTATAGGAAACCAGAACTCAGATCATAAAGTCCTCGCAAAATGAGGGTGAAATCCCTAGGTAGTGTCTTATCTACAAACCCATCTGACTTCCAAAATTTACCCCAGAACTTAAACCCATTAAAACTCCCCCCGAAGAAAAGCAGCGGGGGAGGCCGGGCCTGAATTTTCGGAGCCCACAGTAAAACATCACCTTTCCTAGAGAGATTTTATTCTTATCAAATGAATATTGAGGTAGAGATAGAAAGTGGAGAGAAGAAAAATAAAAAGACCCCATCCTATTTACTAAATGCTAGGGGATTTTCCACAGCTAGTTGATTTCTCTTAGGTATTCAAATCAATTAAACAAAGGAAGGCCAACTTTTCTTAGGTCTCATATCATTTAAACAATGTACAAAGACAGTCATCTATCAATCACAATAAATCATAAAAAATGAAAAAAAAAGCATCAAAGGGCCACGGAGGAAAATAGAAATCATGTTATTTATAATGCTTAAATGGAAAAAGCAGATAAAACTATGCTTTTTGTGATCAATGCCATCGCAAGATATTTCCTAGAAACCAAACCACGAACTGTAAATGATAACTCCAAGCATGAGTCTCATTCAAAGCTACATAACATAAGTTTAATAACCGGACACGCGTGTCCGATTTTAATTTTAATTTTTTTTAATTGCGACACTCCAATGCCGTGTCAGACACGTGTCCATGCCATGTCCGATGCGTGTCCGACACGTGTCCGACACTACATACCCTCTCTAAGTGCCGTGTCGGTGCATCATAGACTGGAACACATAGCAACAAGGTAGAAGGAAATTTCATCAATGAGAACATGAACAGAAGCATTAGTGTAATATATCTCATGTTTAGTTGAATATGAGGTAAATTATCAAGGTAGAGTTGGTCTGTTTTTAAGTATGCATCCATATGAAATAGTTCTCATCATGGCACATGAATGGTAAAATTACCTCATGAAAGTGATGCATCAAAGGATTGCTGGAATTCAACAAGGAAAAAGCTAGAATAGCTTTAGAAATGTTGAATACATGGCTTTATCCCAATAGCCCAAAAGTGGAACACATAGCTAGATGAAGGTATGAGCAATTTTAAATGCAACAATTGCTGGCAAGGATCCTGATCTTTATTATGACAAAGGAATCCCGCCAGGATATGGGAACTATAACAAAAAAAAGGACATCAAAATACGAGAACTATAGCAAAAAAATAAGGGCATTGACATACTTTCAAGTAGAAAATAACAAAAAAGTAAGCAACTTGTACATAGTTATAACTTGTAACCAGAAGAAAACGGCAGCTGACCTGTAAAACGCATCTGTGATGACTGGAACCATTTATATTGCCATGTGTATAGAGATTGTTCTGCGACATAAGTCTGTTTTCTGCAAAAGCATGCAAGTAAAAGCAAGAAATTATGAAATGTCAAGAACTGTAAGATAGCCCAAGAAAATAGTTCAAAAGAAAAAATGATTAAGCATAAGATGTATTTGAAATTGGAAGCTTTACCCAACATGGGTTCTGTAACTGAAATCCACCCTTCATCCAAATGCCTGGATCTCCTTTGCAATGCCTCTGCAGACGCAACTTCTAAACAAGCCATTTTCTACAGAGCAAAAGGTAAATTGTGTCATAAATAAATTATGCCACAAATTTCAAACTATCAATTAAAAGGAAAATATAGTCCAAATGACAAAACCTTCCCCACCAATTGAATGCTTATGCAAGATTCCCACAAGACTGGATGTGTTCTCTAGTAATTTTTAGTGGTTAAATTTTGTTATTCAACCAATCAATTCCAAGTCAACACATCTAGAGTTCAGATTAAATCCAATAATTACTACAAATAAGAATTGGAAAGTAGTTGTTGCTGGACAACTACAAACTATTTCCTATAATTGGGTTTTCCTACTCAACAGAATGTTGGTTCCTTCCGCTTCTTTGCCATTTTTTGTATCTTCCCATTGGTCCCTGTATACTCCATTGCTTCCCGTTGTGTGCTGCCACTGATACAAGCTTACCCATTGGGCCCTGTACAATCCGCTTCTCCTAATGTTTGGCACTTCATGTCTCTCACTGCTTCCCACTATTATTTACCATTCCTATCGATATATGTTTTCTACTCAACATAATTGTTTCCTTGCTTTCCCATTGCAGTTGATGCCTTTACTTCCTGCTAAACCCTTTGTTGTTGCCTCTGATTCCCACTATACACGCTATCACAATTCTCTATTCCCGTTGCTTGTATACTATAACAGGTGGCTTTCTTCTTCAACATATATCTCCTATACTTGTGTCGGTTCCCCTATTTTCCTTGCTAAGCTTGACTAATGTATTTCGCACCGGCACCTAAACATTAGACTTTAAACCAGGACTTGGATATTCTATGGAATGATTTGATGTTGTTGCAATTCAATTCATTTGCATTGAAATCTATCATATTTGAATAGATTTTGACATATTATGAGAATTTTCATATTTTGGGTCCTTTATGTGCTATAAAAAGGACGCATGAGGCATGTTAAGAATATTTTAACATCAAGTATTGCAATAGGAATTCCAACGTCCTTTAATTCACGCGTGTTTATTAGTTGTATTTGTATTCTTTGACTGCTTCGTAGATGTTCACAACTAATTTTCAGTGCTAATATCTTTGCACCAGTGTGAGACCTAGTTTACTCTTTGGGTAATTCTAGTCTTATTCTTGTTTAATTTCATATGTTAATAGTTGGTGACATACATAATGTGGATTTTATATTTTTTTTATAGTGCATCTCATTTTAGGTTATATTAAAAATCCTAGACCCTTAACAATCCTACGTTACATCTCACACAATGAATTCATTAGCATTATGATGGGTTTAATCTCATTATGATCTTTGTGATACAAATAGTTAATTGATGTAAATTTTTTCCCAATATAAATAATTTTAAAATTTAATTACCCAATTTAACTATGACCTCAAAAGCTATCTGTAACAAAAAGAATGAATAGTATGCTAATATTTTGTTTGAAAAAATAATGGAAATTTGAATTTATATGCCTCTTACTATCCCTAATTGGAGAAATATGATGATTGTTTGTTTTTGTGGAAAAATATGCTCGAAAGTTCATTTCAGACCAAAATACCACTGCCTTTGACCACATACTATTTATCTAAAGTCTAATGTGATAAAGTTTTCATCAATCAAAAGCAAACCCTTGAGGATCTCATTCTACTAAATATCTAATCTCGTTCATTTTTTTGGGCCTTACGTAATTTATGCTTAATATTATAAATCTTTCTTTTTTTTAAAGACTAAAATGTATTTATTTCTTC